ACGAACAGTGTGGCAGCAGCCTCAGCAGCAGTAGGTCTCAATATACACAAAGGGAAAAGCAAGATTCTCCCATACAACACGGCATACATCAATCCAGTCACAATTGACAGGGAAGATTTGGAAGATGTAAAAACTTTTAAATATTTAGGCAGCATCATTGATGAACAGGGTGGATCTGATGCAGATGTGAAGGCGCGGATCAGCAAAGCAAGAGCAGCATACTTACAACTGAGGAATATCTGTTACTCAAAGCAACTGTCAACCAACACCAAGGTCGGGATTTTCAATACAAATGTCGAGACAGTTCTACTGTATGGGACAGAAACCTGGAGAACTACGAAAGCCATCATTCAGAAAATACAGGTGTTTATGAACAGTTGTCTACACAAAATACTTCAGATCCGTTGGCCGGACACTATTAGCAACAACATACTGTAAGAGAGAAGAAACTAAATCCCAGAGGAGGAAGAAGCGCTGGAAGTGGATAGAACACACATTGAGGAAAGCACCCAACGGCGTCACAAGGTAAGCCCTCACATGGAATCCTCAAGGCCAAAGGAAAAGAGGAAGACCAAAGAACACATTACGCCAGGAAATGGAGATAGACATGAGAAAAATGAGCAAGAATTGGATGGAACTAGGAAAGAAGGCCCAGGACAGAGTGGGTTGCAGAATGCTGGTCGGCGGCCTATGCTCCATTGGGATTAACAGGCGTAAGTAAATAAGTAGGTAAGTACTTTGGACGAGTCAGTCTGTAATGGAGTAGGAATTCAAGAATTAACTCATTATTAGTTCTTATTTGATTCTAGGGTTGTATTGTAACAAGGACTTGGAGCTTCAAATCCCCATCATATAACTGTGAACGCTTAACTGTCTTATGACATTTGTTTATACCAAGTTTATGATGTAAATGAAATGTTAATGGTTTCACGGCTCATATTGCCTTAAAACTCTGGTTTCAGCATATTTCTGACTTCATTAACAGGTTACAAATAACCTATAAGATTCTTCCTTCATGTAAACAGCGCTCTTAATTTTCTAACCCTTCTAGTATTTCACCTAGACGTTTAGTATCAACAAAAAAATTGGTAGGCATTATTTAGATATTACTCGACAATATGCATTATAACTGTAGGAAGCAATTTCCTACAGATTCAACTCTAAGCTAATCTCTAGAATGTCGAGTACAGAGTCTTGGCTTAGCCAAAGTCAGAACAAGCAAGCTATTTGGCTAGATAAACTTTATCTGTTTCTAAAACATAAATTAACATCGTTAGTGTACAAACAAACAGTACGGTCTATTAATACAGGGAAAAACAGAGACAAATAACATACCGAACAGTAGCCAGAGAATAGGAAAAATGAGTCAACAAGCCAATATTGTTTTACAATGAACATTAAACTGTGATTGGTTAATAAAGAGATACAGTCGTACAAGGTCAAAAGGAGTTGATGTGGTGGTGGACGTTTCCTTATTATTATTGGTGGGTTCGTCTATCAATCACATTTTACAATAACTTTGTTCATAATTTGGTCAGTGATTACCGATTCTGTTTACAGGAACTTATTTGTTAACCCCGTAACAGACACATCATAAATCAGTATTAACTACGACATTGTTCTGTCACCAAGCTCAAAAGAAACACGCATCGTTTAACTTATGAGGACTTTGTGACTACTTAATGTGGCACTTCCAGTGGTGTTATACACTGTTCCTGTATACGTTCAGAAAGCGGGTGGAAAAGAGTATCAACGTCAACTGTTTCCCACATAGTTCTTCTCAGATGCGTAACATAATATGTCACTTCAGTACAAAACGGTGATACTTATAATGGATAAAAATGTTTATGGCTAAATATTAGCAAGTTATATAATATTCATAAATAGATTAACGCTTAATTGCTTCTACCTATATTTTATAAACAACTGCCAACATCCATGTTCATCATCACCATAATCAAAGTGAACCAGATGCTATGGGTTTAAAGCTTATTTTCCTGAAAACTCAATTTGCGATCTATTTTTTGACTTGAAAAATGGCGAATTTTACTTGCTTCACTTTGTATTGTTACAAATAGTCATAATAGGCTTACAAAAGATTCACTTAGGCGGTGAGCAACAAACACGTCAAACTGCTAATAAATTGGAATAAAAACTACTTGACAATTACAAACATTTCGAAACTTGACGTGTGATGGAAAAAAGGCTGTTTATAGATGATAAATAGCGACACAAAAATCCATGACAATATGTAACATGTGAGCGAAAGCCCCTGGCTTACCCCGGTGCCCGTCTACAGTTAAACGCAACTGGATTTCGTAAACGTGACAGTCTGTTTAGTGACCAATCAGAATGACACGGTAATTATTATACCTGCCATCTTTGTAAGCAACGGCGGCCGGCTTTCTTCGTTCTGTGCTTTTTCTGCTATTTCCTTTGTTTACCTACATAATATAATGTTTCAGTGTGCTAAAATGCAGAAATTAATGTAATACCGAAAATGTTGTAGCAAATATTTTCTGATTTAGCTTTCGTTTCCATGTTTTGCTGCTGCTACTGGAGTCAGTGTATTTCTTCAGGCAAGCTCATCAGTCTTATGTTTTAAAATGATAATCGGTTTTGTTTTGACTTGGTTTTTAGATATTCAAACCGTAGTTGTTTTAGCTAAAAATAATTGTTGCTGCCACCTGTGACTAACTGTCTGCATGTTCGTTCCCAACTGCCCTTTTTGATGTTATCGGCGAAATGAAAGAAAACGATCGTCGGTTTTTAATTTTCTTCAGTATTATGGACAACACTATCCCATCAACGAGTCAAACTAATACAAGGTGCTCAGTAGTAGAGGATATCAGTATTATTTTCAAAAGGACTCAGACTTCGGACAACCATAGACGAAGTCACAGATGCTACCAATCTAATGCAGAGAGTTTGTTATTAAAAATATACCATGTAAAGTAATACAGTAATTGTACTCATTACGTCGTGCGTGAAAACAAGCTTAACATTGAAAACCCGGAAATATGATATCAGTGTGTAGTGTATGTTTGCTGTTTTGGCCGTAAAAGGAAGCCGGAGGGTTATGATCAGGGATTAAAGTGGTAATTAACTGCCATTAAGTTCACTTTTTCACAGATCATATTTCATCACCCTTAAATTTGTGTTTTTTTACGGTATGATGTCAACCGGTACATAATATCTTCACCCTTGCGATGTAAAGTACATGAAAATTCTCACCTTCATATTCGAATTACTTTTGGACAACTGTATTCTAGTTTGAGTGCTTCATACGCCCTGGGAAACTGGGTTCCTACAACATTTGTAGTTCCAGTATAACTTTCTCCCACAGTAAGTTCAAAGTAGATACTAGTCTTGCTAAATAAACCTATTAAGCTAATATCTGTATTTTCTATTTCAGTTAACCTATGAAGAAATTGTTTAATGACAAAAATTTTGAAATATGGTCAGTGCTAGATGTACAGTTTACAAATAAACACCAAATATACTTATCGCTTTCTTATAAGGCAGGACAGCAACAGCATCAAAGGCACTTTTTTTCCGACTTTTAATCAGACTGGTTTGAATCAGTATACTCATTAAAAAAGCAGGAGGCTCTACTTAATAAACTGATCTGTTTCGTTACAGGCTTCAAGCACTATGCTTAGGTATAATATAATTCTATAGACTAAACTGAATTAAACGACAACCAAGAATAGTAAACTATGCAGGTGTCATAATTATTGTTTCATTTGCACAGGCATGTTACTCAAAGTAGTTAAATGTATATAATTCAGCCGATAAACCGAAAACAAGAACTATAGGCCAGTTAAACTTACCTAACTGAAGACAAATGATATTGTTTTGAGACTTAAGACAACAGCCAGTTGTTCATAAAAACAAAGTTTGCAGAACAACAAACATTTCTTCAGTAACACTACACACTGATGGTCTATTTGTAAACAATCAACGATGTGATTAAACTTACTATGACTCGGGATATAATACAAGCAGGCAATTAACGTACAGTGTAACGCAGTCAGACGTGGCGAATCAAAATTACAACCAGAGCAAAATTCACAGCATAATCAATATATTTATTAAAAAATACATTATTAAATGACAAATCACATGAGTACATGAACGCAGACATGACAGTTATTGCAATGGGCAATACATTAGGCTTACACGTAACCGCAGTATCATTACTGGGAACTTCGACATTAAAATATCGTGTAAATTTGTATTTAAAGTGCAAGTGAACACATTATTCTTCTGTTCATGTTATTCTCGTTATTTCAGATGATTTTTGGTCCACATTGATTGCCGAAAATTTTATTTATGTTGAGTAATTTGTTGAGTGTTCAACAATGCAAACTACTCACTAAATTAGTATGACAGATCATTTGCTGCAAATACGCAACTCTTCAGGGCTTCTCGTTAATACATCATTCCATACTTTGGTAAGCTATGTGTCATGTCATGTCCCACGGATCCACTCACAGCAAGGTTATTTAGCAGATCAGTGTCCAAAGTGTGTATGAGGGGGTTCGTATGATCCGATGGAGTGAGCGTCTTTATGGCGCATATAATTATAAAGTAATTTGAAAATACCTAGGACTAACCGTAATCGTACTTTATCCCTTATGCTGTGCTACTGCTTCCTTATAATACTGAGATATTGCCTCATTGGCGGAAACAAGAGTATTATGTAGTAAACCTTTACTTACTAGTCTGATGCCGACACAGATTTTCGAAGGTGAGAAGTACAGACATATGTCTTAGCACTACAGACATTCTTCTCCAATATCCGGAATATTGTTGTATGGCTCAATAGGATTACACAATTCAGAGATAATTTAACATAATTCCAAACAGCATTTCATGTGATATTGATCTCTTAATTTTTTAAGACACAGATTATTTCTATTTCGGCAGACTGAGATTTTTCTATTTAGATGTCTGTCTGTTTAGATACGTCAATTTTACGTTCAGGTGCCTAAAATGTACTTTTAAGGCGCTACTTACGGTTGTGTGGCTGAAATATGGGTGAAAGGACGGATGACAGTGATGTAGTAGTCACAATAGGAGTTTGTGCAATGGCAAAGAAAGCGATGTCAAAACCAATGAAGGAAATTTTGAGAAGAATGGACAAGTTCCAGCACATTAAGATAATAATATTCGACGAGAAAATGATATTAGATTCACCAATAGAGTCATGGCCCATATGTGATGCACTGGTCAGTTTTTATTCTGAAGGATTTCCTCTCAAAAAAGCTATTGCTTATTCGAAGCTGCGGAAGCCTTACCTTGTCAATGATCTTGAATCCCAATACATTTTAATGGATAGAAGAAGGGTTTATGAGTGCTTGACGAAAGAAGGTGTTCCAGTTCCGAGATACGCATTTGTTGATAGAACATCAGAAAACCCAGTGAAAGTTGTTGAGCTTGACGATTCAATTGAGGTTAGTGATTTTTTCTAAAGACCCGATGTACACTTTATTAGCTGACTTCCATTACGCTTAATTTTTAGGTATACAGTATTGAGTAGTACTTCTTAATATTGTAGTGCGGGTAAGACTATTTGTTCTGGAATACAAGAATTTCAGTTAGTAGATAGATTTGTACATTGAGATAAACCTCAGCACTTTCAATTGTAAACCTAAGAAAATTCTACGGGACTATTATTTATGGACGAACTAGTCAAATTTAAGTTAGCATGTTTTGAATTTTGGCCCGAAATTCATTTAACCATTTAGTTAAATATCATTTCGGCACTATAGCTTATTATCGGTTTGCGTTGTTCAACATTCTTAGGTCACTTGAGCGTTACTCAAAGGTCGTCCATAAATCATAGTCCCACAGGAAATTCGACTGGCGTGTAACTATGTTTTTTTATTTGTTATGACGTAGATCATGTGTAAAGGAACAGGGTTAGCCGGGGTCTTAGAATCAGATTTTGAAGCTTTCTGACGGTTTCTATTAAACCCATCCATAACTTTTAATTAATGAATCCTATCTCAAAGACATCAACACGCACCACCTTAAACTGGAGATTAACTTCTTGCCACTTTATTTTGCATGTTATGTATCATGAAGTTGGCTTTAGAATTTCCATGATTAGCATGTTGTTTCCAGGCTGTTAAAGGTTTTCTAACGTTTCCTAACATGTCTGAGAAGAAATTTAAACTCATGAAACTTCAGCTTGAATAAAATTATAAATATAATTAAAATATTAACGTAAAATCTCGATCAGTCATATGTATATTCATAAACATAATTTCTCTGTACGTGTGTAACTTTCGTGAGCAGAACGAACATTGATTGGATGTAGTCAACCAATTTTATTATTGAAGGCTAGTTTCGCTTTATGCTTACACATAATAACCTGCCATATAGTTCTAGTTAGCCAGGTTTTCATAACCTGAGGAAATCAGAAAGGTAACGCTTAAAAGCCCTGGTAGTATTGATTAGTTCTACTTGAATAAAAAGTTTTAGATGAGGTTTTATAAAATTGTCGTACGACATTATATCTAGTTTCTTTAATATATTTTATCTATTTTCCCTTAAAATGTGTACCTAGCGTTGCATCTTACTAGCATGCATAATTGGGACACTATATATATGTACAAGCTAAAGATTGGAGATATTTTTGGCGATTTGTGCTCATGCTTATTCCGTCCGACCATGAATAAGCTTCTAGAAATCTTGCAACCTAGCGGACCCTTGTGTTTTACTTGATTTAAAGATGATTTAAAGATGAATTGTATGTAATCAGCTTTTTGCTTTTTTTTAATGGTGGGGTAAACAACGATAAACCAACGCTTAACTTAGCACACGTTATGGAACTGCGTTTATTCTCGTTTTCCGTCACAGTGTTTTCAAATTAGTTACTTTTCTGTGTTGAGCGTAGTCGCATAGCAAAATTGTGGCAAAATGCTTTGGTCAGTTTAGTTAGTGTGAAGTAATTGGATGAAAAGAACCACCTTATAAATTTGCTTGTAAAATATTAAGAAATGATATGAATATATTCATCGTGTTCTTTTTTTGTTCTGTCTACTGTGTTAACAAAGCATCTTTTTTTGTTGACTAAAGTGTTTTTCATTACTCTGGTATTCCTCTATTAGATTTTTAGTAGATAGTTACTGAATATTTTATGTGGGCTGTCAGCAGAACGAAATTTTATGACATTGAGAAGTTTTAATTGATCTTGTCAAGTTTTTTTGGTCATTTAAAAACCTAATTTATGTGAAAATTTTGAGTAAGTTGATACGATTAAAACAATATAAAGTAATAACTTAGTTCCACTACTTGAACTTTGGCAATTTTATAAGTCAATATTTTTGTACAAACAATTGTCTACCGTCCTTAAATGTATCTTTGCCAGATTATTATCACACTAATAAGTTTGTCTAGCCTAGATTTGTCTTCAATTTTCCGAGGTACCTCTTGAATAAAGTATAAATTTTTATTTCAGATTAATGGTGAGGTTTTTCACAAACCATTCGTAGAAAAACCTTTGCATGCTGAAGATCATAATATCTACATCTACTTCCCTAGCAGCGCTGGAGGAGGCAGTCAGCGTCTCTTTCGAAAAGTTGGAAATCGCAGCAGCAAGTACTTTCCACACAGTAATATTCGAACAAATGGATCTTATATGTATGAGGAATTTATGCCAACGGATGGTACAGATGTAAAGGTACGATGAACGTTATGTATGATGTGGGGTATTTTGTATCTAGACCGTCAGTTTGCGTGTCTAATAGAGATTATTTAAACGTCATGAAGTTAGACATTAAAACCGTTGGATGCCGGCTCAGTGGTCTAGTTGGTTAGGCGCCTGGCGCGAGACTAACAAGTCCTGAGTTCGAATCCCGCGTGGCGGGGTCGTGGATGCGCATTGCTGAGGAGTCCCACAATAGGATGGAACGGCCGTTCAGTGCTTCCAGGTTTTCCATGGTGGTCTAGCTTCAATTGACTCATGATCTCAACTGTTGAAGTTTTGGATTCCGTGAATTTTCAGACCCTATGCTAGTCTGAGAGTTAAAACCAAACCTTAAGGTTTAGGGTATGTTATATGATAACTTGCAGTTGCCTTGGTAGTACAAATGAGGAAAGTGATTGATTTTTTCCCCATTCTGACTATTGCTCCAATTCACTAGGTCTAATCATCATTTTATTTCAATTATTTTCCTTAATTGAAGAGTCTTCTTCCGTGTACGTTCATAACATTTATTTTCAATTTACCGACATCGTTACTGTGATTACTTGTAAAACCTTTCCCAGTTAATGTGAAGCCTCATTTTAAGTTCTTATTTTAAAGAAGCTACCGAGTGTCTCATTTCTTAATTTCTAAGTATATATATTTGACAGTTTAATTATTTGACTTTTCTGGTCTCTCATAGCCAATGAAAATTAGAAAGCTTTTATTATTCAAACCTAATCATTTGTGCTATGAATGGCGCTTTTGGTACTAAAATCAGGACACAGTCGACTAGGAATAGCCTTATATGTTGTAAGCAACATTTTAGTCTTTCGCTGCTTTTATGTTAAATTCCATCATGTAAAATTATATGGATTCTAAAGTTCGTTCTTATTTGATAGTCACTAGATCCGAAATTTAGTTAGTTTAGATGTGGTGCTAATATAATTGTTATATAATACAAAGGAATTTTAAAGTTAACTCCATGATAAATTTTTTATTATAACCCACTTAGGTTTACACGGTCGCAGATGATTATGCTCATGCAGAGGCTCGAAAATCTCCTGCCTTAGATGGGAAGGTAGAACGAGATCACGAAGGTAAAGAAGTTCGCTATCCTGTCATACTAACACCTAGAGAGAAAATCATTGCCAAGAAAGTAGCAAAAGCTGTTCGGCAGCAAATCTGTGGATTCGATCTTCTTCGGGCTAATGGAATGTCTTATGTTTGTGACGTAAATGGATTTTCTTTTGTTAAGTCATCCAAAAAGTACTATGATGACTGTAGTCACATTCTTGGTGTGTTAATTACTCGAAAAATAGCACCACGATTGTGTTTGCCGACCAACTTGCCTCCAGGTACGGATGTAGATACTCCGCTGGTACCAACAACTTGTGGAGCAATTATGGAACTTCGTTGTGTAATCGCTGTCATTCGTCATGGTGACAGGACGCCAAAACAGAAAATGAAAATGGAAGTTTGCCATCAGAAATTTTTCTCATTTTTCACTAAGTATGCAGGTGGTTGGGCTCGTGAATTAAAAATCAAACGTCCTACCCAGTTGCAAGAAATTTTAGATATTGTGCGATCCATTTTGGAAGAAATTGATTCTGGCCAGTGTACTGATAATTGTCTTCTTCGAATAAAGCCAAAATTTGAGCAACTAAAGTGAGTTCATATTTTCTGAAAGAAGTACATTACTTTTGTAGACAAACGTTCCCCAAAATATTACTGTCCTACGACATAGTATGTCATAGTACAAGTATGAATATTTTTACATATTTTAGGGTACAATAATTTATGTCAAAACCTTGTATAAATTTAGCATAGGATACAGTGTTTTAACAATATGAGTGCTTTTGGTGTTTTCGGATTGTCTTTTGCGGTGGAAACTACGACGCATGTTTTGTCTTATTTGGAACTCATAGACTGTATGTACCTCCATCCGTGATGTTGACACTGAAGCTCGAGTCTAGTACCTATGCCGACGAGTTACTGATTAAACTGGTGAGTCCATATAGTTCCCAAATTATGAATTACTGTTAGTAATATAAACAACGAGAATGTATCGACTCTCACAACAAGATTTTAATAATACTATTTTTATCACTTACCGAAATCCATTGTCTCTTTAGGATCAGTTTGTTTCAATTAATATCTTAAACACTTATTAAACTGGTTTAATATCCCGATCATTCTTTCATAATCAGTCGTATTAGGCTACATTAACTGATGGTCGAGAAAATCGTAATGTGTATACATCAAGCTTGCCCAGCTTTTAATAAATTACTTCACCTGTAGATCGGTAAACTTTGAAATTCCCAATAAATATCAAGCTGTTTGTTAAACCATTTATTCCATTTCACTACACGAATATAGAAAGTTGCCGTGTATGATGATAGGGATAGACAGGTCTCAAGAATTTAAAGATTTTTTCGGAACGCTATGAAGATATGATCAAACTACAGTTATATGATTTCAAGCTAAAAGTACTGGCTAGGGATAATAAATAAGTCAACATGGTTGTAACTATTTATTGACTGGAGTGCTTGAGTTGAATAGTCTTCAGAATGACCAAACCCACGAATTTACTAACTCTTGGTTTTGGTCCAGGAAATAATTGTGTTCGGTGGTCAAATATATTTAAGTCACAATTTAATTGTTCTTCATAAAACGAAAGAGAATCATGTCATGAAATTTTTAGACGAACACCATATTTCTAGATCTTGTGGAAGTGATTGTATGTAATGGTTACTATTGCCTATAAAAAGGATTCTCACTTGGTTAGTGAAAAGTAGATAGTTTAATTTATCACTAAATTTTAGTCACTACTTCTCGCTTATTATAAGTATTAAATGATTTTTGATTTCATATTTTCCTTTACTCTATTACTAGATATGTCTTAGAAATGTATGGGTCATTTAGTGGAATTAACCGTAAAATTCAGTTAAAATATCAACCACATGGAATTGGTAAAGAATCAAATATTGGTTATTCAAGTGAGCTTTTGTGTTGGTTTTCTTGCATACCGCTTCATTAAAATGTGAACTTTGTTTCGCAATGGTGTTTATGCACTGCATATTTTCAAATCAGTCCGTATTGGTGTTTATTGAGTTAAAACATCCAAGTTTCAGCTTTTTTGTATGCATTTAAAGCTTACGTAACACGTACTAGTTTCAGCAACCGTTAATATCTCTAAATTTGGCGAAACTAGTACATCTCGATATTGCTACATAGTCACAATTTTTTTAGTAAGGTTTGATAGTCAGCTTCAACATTAGGATTTAAGTACATCCAGCTAGTAAGTCAAAAGTATGACGTAACGTGCATTCTTGATTGCGTTACTAGCCACTATTCAACTTTTAAAAAATATCGGTATCCGCGTTCAACGAAACTAAGCAGCTCTGTTCAAAATATTTCACAAAAAACTGTTATTCATGATATTCAGCACTCTATTCTCATTTTTTCTTTCTATTGCAAATGAAACTTTATCAAATTTTTTTATTTATGAAGTGTTCATGCCTTTTGCATGTGATAGTCTTAAACCTGTTAGCGATCTAAAGTATCAATTTTGGTTAGACGGTCAGTCGAAATCAACATAGAACATATCCAAATTGTATCAGCTGAGCTACATATATCCCAACCATTTCAGTTGGATATCCGCAACCTCATAAACTGGTTTGCCTAACCTCAAGGTTTCTCACTTAGTCGTTCCACGATTAGCAACCAATGCTTGAAAAACGCCCTTTTCTACCAAATTATCTCGGCTAGGTTACATTTTCTTCAGACACATATAGGTGGAGAACGACGATCGTAAAAGTTAACACTAGTGTAATAAAATACTTCTAGAACTGTTGATCGAGACTATAGGTATTACTTTCGTGATGCGATAACACGACCCGCTTGAACGGTTAGTAACCATAATTTGGATTTAATTTGTTGCCTGGTATTTAAAATCTTTTGAATTTAGAATTACTATTTTCATCTTATTCATACATCGTTTCTTTTATCTATTTAACTAATTAACTAATGTAGGCATAAGGTCTAGAGATCGATACAAATGACTAACCTTTTCTTCTGCGCAATACAATGAGTATACTAAAGTGACCTTTTTTGGTTTTCTATAAATTTCTGTGTTCACTTTTCAGTGAGTAATATAGTTAGGGTTATGTCATTGTGCAGAAATGGTTTTGGTGGATTGGACTTCACATATATTTGGTTTAAAAGAAGTCCATTACTGATGTAATTAGTTTACGACAGTATTTCAATAGAACCGTGAATGTGAGTCAAAGTACTCATATCTACCGTGTCTGTTAAAAGTGGGTTATTGGGAAAAGTAACTATGCTTACTGTTGAGAAACGAGATCATATCGTGGTGACCATTATGTAGTACATGAAATCATTTTCATTGCCATGCAAATGAACAACCACATATATTGATCATTTGTCAGAAGTAAAACAAATTTCCAAAATCCTTGGATTTTGAATGGTCTTTTTTCAGGTAGTATTCCAATATCTTGTGACTGTACTGACGAATGTGACAACACCCAACCTTGCCTATTAGTTGTCGTGAAATGGGGTGGAGAATTAACAGCCGCAGGCAAGCAACAAGCAGAAACTCTAGGAAAAGCTTTTCGTTGCATTTACCCAGGTGGAGATGGCCACTATGGTAAAGATCCTGGTCTTGGATTATTACGTTTACACAGTACTTATCGTCATGATTTGAAGATATATGCTTCTGACGAGGGTCGTGTCCAAATGACAGCTGCAGCTTTTGCCAAAGGTTTCTTGGCACTAGAAGGAGAATTGCCACCAATCCTTGTTCAGATGGTCAAGTCAGCTAATACGAACGGTCTTTTAGATAATGATAACGATTGTCGTCACTATCAGCAGATGGTTAAACGTCGAATCAATGAGGTTATGTCAAAAAACAGTGATTTCACCGCTGAAGATATTGCTACTCTTGTTCCTACCGGCGCACGTTCTATAATTAATGCTATGCAGTATGTTAAAAGCCCGTATAGAGCATGTGGTCGCCTGTTTGAACATGTTCGTCTGTTATCTAATCGTCTTGCTTGGCTCTCACGAAGTTCCAAAGAACGCAGTCGAATACACTTGTATCAAGGTGAAAGTTGGGACCTATTGCTCAGACGTTGGGGAAAGCTATTAAAAGATTTTCGATCTCCTGAAGGAGAATATGATCTTTCTAAAATTTCAGATATATATGACAACATAAAATATGACTTGCAACATAATTCTGGCATTTTACTAGAATCTGAGGTGCAAGATTTCTTCATGTGTGCAAAGTCGCTAGCTGACATTATTGTCCCACAGGTAATTTGACATGCTTATAGCGATTATAATGATAAAACTAGTGATGTAATTTAAGTTCAAGTTTATATTATGTAGCGGCGATAGTTTGATTACAAATTACTTTAAATTTCCTCCCAGCTTTTACAGACTTGTATTTAATTTTGTATATATGAAAGAAATTTAGTAAATAAACGTAAGATCAAAAAGAAATCGTATTTAGTAGGACCTCAGTAAAATAAATCAAGAACTGCAGTTATGTATTTACTGTTGATCCATTGGTGTTTCTCCTTCCATGAATTTTACGTTCTGCTGAATAACTTTACTAACTTACGTTCGATAAAATATTAAAACTCTCATCTACCGATGCTTGTTGGGAAAAATATATTTTTCGTAATATTTCAATAAAATGTATCGTTTAGTTGACATTCGAATTTGTAAATATAATTTGTTTTGGGATATCATTCTCAGTCAAAAACCATTGTCACTTAATCCCTAGGTGTGAGACTGCGAACAGAATAAAGCTAATGCTTTTTGCTGCACCAAACAACAATTATCACTTTGATAGCAGTTTCTTCAAATCTTCTTATAAAGGATAAAGCAAGTACAAACAACGCATCTCTAAGTGCTCATTCACTGCTGAGATTGATGAAATTTGTCAATAACCATAATCATTTGCATTAAACAGTTTTAATATTATCTTTTTTGACTATTATTAGTTGAACCATGCGGAAACATCAATGTTTCATATTGATTTCATTCCCTTTTTTGTTTTTCTAGAAATGTAATCTCTAAATGAACCATAGGCTATAATATGTCACTTTGTCTAAACAGAAAAGCCTTATAATATAGAACATCAAGAATAAGCTCATTTGCTTAGGTTGTTCCAGTTCTTGATAAGGCAAAAAATACTGTTAGCAATAAAGAGAACTTTTGATAAACTGTAAATTAAAATACCATGAGCAGATAAGGAAATATTGTTCACTCGTCAATTTGATCACACATATGATATGTTCTGATGACTTATATTCAGTTACAGTTATTCTTATATAGTCTACCATCAATGAATCAATCCCATAATTTTTGAGTATCATAGAGCGGACTGTTGCACAATGTGTTCGTCCACAATCAAGGTTTAGATGTCGTCTCAATAGAATAAATGACAAAGGTTTATTTTCGTTGTTAGAAATAATTTATCGTGTTTCATACAAAAGCGGACTTCATACCAATTCTTTGAAATTTGAAATTCTTGACCAAACTAATATGAATTAATTGTGTTTTATGACTATCACTGTTATTGTCTTAATTACATAGTCATTCTGATGAGATTGCTGTGATAAGTACTCTTGATGTTACCTTATTCAATGCCATTTTTGTGTTTGTCTTCTACCGTTTGTCACATTCCAGAAAAAATGTTTATACTTTCTGCTTTCCTTATCTTTAGGAATATGGTATAACAAAAGAAGAAAAACTAGTAATAGGTCAACGTATTTGTACTCCACTTATGCGAAAAATTTTATCAGATGCTCGTTATACAGATGTAGATGAGTGTACACGGCTGCATGCTGGGTGAGTAGTATTCTTCATTATCTATTGGTTTTTTGGTGCATTTAGTAACGTTGTAACGTCTTAATAATATCATATTTAAACACTTTTATATCTTTAATATAATTTGAATGAAATGATGATTTTAAGGCTTGACCTTATTCTCACTTCTATAAATAATAATAGACTTTATGAGTGTCCTATATAATTATGTGAAGCTATGACGCACTGATGCAAAATGTCAATGATAAACAGTTTTTGATTCTCTTTCACTTTAACAATAGATTTACTAGTTAGAAACTAATAATAGTCGTATTAAGAATAACGTATTTAGAAAAACTCTAATGAGTGGAGAATTGAATTACTGACATTTCGTAACTTCGTGCGTGTCCCTTTTTTAAAGAAGTAAATGAAATTAATTAACAAAAGTTTCGGTGATACAAAGAATATAAAACACACAAGTTTTAGTATAATCAAAATAGATCTGATCATGTTAATATCACGTTATTTCGAACAAAGTGGTTCTGTATGAGACCTACTTATTTGTAGGTTAGTGTATGTGAAAAATATATTTCTAATGTAAAAGAGTAAAGAACATTTGCTCCTGATACGAGATATGAATAGAAATGATTATTTGGATATTTGAATAAATTGTTTATTTTGAATGAATCTTCAGGCCTTCCTGACTATGGAGCGCAGGAGGGTTTGACATTGCATGCAAAAATCCAGCTACGACTTTCTTTGCATTTGGTAAAAACATTTTGAAATCTGTATTTTTACTTATGGTCTTTGTTATTAACAATATGCCCAATGCTAAAATTATTTGAAGTTATAATGTCAAATTATCAAGTGTTTTATCCTTTAATTTGATGTAACACTGATATACTTAACAAATACATTATAGGGCATTTTTATTTTATTATCTTAGACACTGTGCAAAGTTACTAACATAAAATTGGGATTAATTAAGGCTAGTTGAATCCTATTTTAAATCTACATAACTTAAGCCTGGACGAGAAATTAAATGAGTGACTCAAAATAAATGTGATTCAAAAACAGTTGTTAATGTTCCGATAAGTGTTTACTTCCTTTTAAACTTAATAGTCCAAAATGTTTTTTAAGAAAATAAGTTCTGTAAGAAATGATCTTTAATGCCCATTTTATTAACTAATGAATACACCCAGAGACATGTATATGTAAAAGAAAGTTGAATCAACGGTTTAGATATGCTAACACGAAAAATTGAATGTCCTTAAATAAGTGTAGTAAGATATCACTATTTTCTAATTTCTTTCCTCCTCTAAATCATTCATTTTATTGGAGTGAACCTCTGTAAATCTCTTTCTTGGTTATATCAGTTTTGTTTAGTTTCTGTTCATTATAATTAGAGTTGTATGGTCTGTGAAAACTGTGTGATTGGAGAAAACGTTTTGTTTTGCTAATGAACTTATTTATTATTATTTAACATTCTAAGATATGGTTCAAAAGTATTTTGATTACATTCATGGTGCACACTAAACTGCCTGTTAAAAATACGATATTTATCGGGTATATATTGCTGGTACTATGGGCACATCAGAATGATGCATGTACTCAAAAATCCCAAATAGTTTAGTTTGAAAACTCGGTATGCTCTCTTAATTTTTATTACGCAAGACATTATTATTATTATTATTATTATTATTATTATTATTATTATTATTATTATTATTATTATTTTGTAACTTCAATCTCTTCAATTGATAATTACTGGGTTGATAGATTTTCGGGTTTCATTTAAATACCCAAACCAGAGTGAGGGTTGCTTGTTTAAAAACTCCCTGTAACATTACACATAAGCATAAAGACCATTCCCATCAAAAAGATATTACTAATAGTGATAATAATAATACTTTAAAGATTTCATGACATTTTGCAGGAATGGTTGTGCTGATATATGTTTATCTATCTCTTTTCTGTGGTTCTTTATAAGAATATATTTTAGCCAGTGCTATATTTTCAATCAATAAATCTCTAACAATAAAGAGTTGAAATCAACTATTTGTTTACTTGAGTTATCTGAAAAAGTTTTGTAGGTGAGCGATGTGAGCCTTTCATAATCAAGGGATATGATGAGAGACGATTATGTAAGCTTTCCATTTTTGTTTAGCCGTTTAAGAAAATCTTACATATACTAGATAATTCGTGTGTATTGAACTGTCGTTTTGCTTCTGCTACATAAGTACACTTGGAATTGTGGAACTAATATGGTTTAAATACAACATATTGATCCAGCGCGTTGCTGTAAAGGAAATAGAAAAATCGAGAAACACGGGCAAAGGAGATATTATTCGTGATTATTTTAAGGTGTATACATCTGCAAAAGCTCTCGTCATTACTTTTGTTACTGTAGTGTGATATTTAGCTAGTAAAATGCTGTATGTTCTTTTGGAAATTTAGGGAGGTGACTATGCTCACGCATGATGATGAGGTAGTTACATATATTAAGAGTTTTAGCGGATTAAGATTGTGATTAAGCAACTGAACAAATGAATGAAAGTTACTCGTCAATCTTGCTTCCAGCGGTAGACTATTTTATGTCTGAACGTACTTAATCAAGAAAAGTCCCCATCCTGTATTTTTCCATTTCAGTTGTAGATATTTTATTTCCCGAGTCATGCTCAGGTGTGTTTAAACAAGAACTGTTAGTTTTCGATTCAGTTTATGAGGCAGAATTATTTTTGTCGTAAACCATAGGAATTTGAGTTTTAGGATATCACACCTCGATATATAGTCAGTTACTGTGTCAGTTTTAGGTACTTTCCAAGTGAAATATCATAGAACTCCTTCTACTGTTAGCTTATCAGATAGACATGAGTTGATGAAAATAGAAAAACCGGTATCCAAGGAATAAACCTTACACAGGTCTTGTCCAAAAAGTCTAGAATTTTTTCCCATAGAAATTTCGCTAGATGAAACTTAGTAATCTCCGTAATTTCGATACTTTAGTAGATTTATGTTCGGAGACGTTTAAACCAAAAAGTTAATTAAGTCCTAGGCCAGTTGAAAACAATTTTTTATTTAGGCATATGTGATGTAAGATAAAGATCAATGACGGTTGAATTAGAAACTGATTATCATACAATTCTACCTTTAAAAAATTCTCCTGTTTAATTGAACATTTACATTATAACTTTTGCATAACAATCTGTTTAATATTTATCTTCTCTATTGACAACTGTCAATACAGTATTCTGTAGATTATTTGTTTGGAAATAACATGTTATTCATTTATGATCTGAGCCTAGGCAAAAGTCAACCGCTCTTAATATTACCTTTCTTCATTAAGCAGCTTAAATGTTATATTTCCAAGTCTCGATTTGCAAACTACCTATTTTCAGTTTTATTCCTCATCATCCAGCTTAGTTAATGACCAGCGTACTAAATGTCATATTTCAGAAAATATAAACATGCTTACTGATACATTTGATGGCATTGGAAATAAATCATTTTCGTGCTTTTACCGATTCATGTACTCTACCGTATACTATTGTAAGATATCATTAATTTGTTTGTATATATGTATTGTGGTTATTTTTATTGTCCCTTACTATTTTCGGACAGATTGCATACCTAAACAACTTTACGTTCCGATAGTTTTTGTTATTTGTTTGGTTATTATAAACCTTTTCTCTCTTATTACTAAATTCTGCTATCTCAGTTACAGAGTACTATTTGTATAAACTATTTCAGTTATTTTTTATCTTAGTAAATATGAAGCAGTATACCTTGACAATAAATAAATGTAACCATTAAGTTGTCGAAATTTTATTTTTCCTAAGTAACTTAGTGTTTTTCACAACAGTGTATGTGATCTTATGCTGTTGAAACCATTGTTGCTCGATGTTTAAGGGCTTGTCTGTAATTAATTGAGTCATTTTTATAAATAATTTGCGTGTTGTATATCGTTTGTTTTAACTATCTTATTATCTGTAACAGCGTACTCAATATGCACCTTTCAGTAATGCCATTCTGTTTAATTATTTCACCCTATGTTTGCTGTTGATGGTGCCACTAATAAATAATTGCAGATGTATCGCGTCTTCTGTCGTCTTTGATATCACTAAAACTTCACAAATCAGCTTGTTTACTGAAGTTATTTCAACTTTTTTAAATATCAATCACTTATTGATAAGTTGGCATAGTTTTTTATTCATATGGTGTGATATGGCTTTTTATAAACTATTTAATTTATTAGCTTTTGTCTTATATAATTGTTAATAGTATCTCCATTGGTATTTTATACACTTTGGTTCCAGGTAGACATGATGTTTTAATTTGGTTTAGCGAGAGTGAACTATTAAATATGAGCTCTTGTTAATGGTTTCTATGCAGACTCTATATCCCCGAGACCTTTACTGTTTGATTTCAAGCAATCATGTTTGTATGTGCAATGTTGTTTCCAAGTAGAATACCCTTCTTATCTCAGAATTGAAAATTTTAACCTCAATAAGATATTTTTCTAGTATTATTATTTTAGGCTTTACTATGTGGTGTTTAATTTCGCTTTCCATAAGTTGTTATATTTCTATACTACCTCATCTTGTTTAACCATGCCTTTAAAACTAATCATATTGCTAGTTGACTGTGGAGTTGTCGATATACATCTTACACATGATTTGATCTAGGTGGTTTTATGGATCGATATCTAGTTTTTCAACAGTTACTATAGTTTACAAATTTAATTATGAGGATTCTAGTCATGAAGAAACCTGCTTACATCGGCTGTTTTGATATTCAGGCTCATTTCATACTTTTTTTCTGTTATTTTCGTGCTCCGAATTCATAAGTTTTGAGTGAAACTAATCCGAATTCATTTACCAAGCTACAGCAGTTTAGGCTACCGGTTTTGAGTTACAATTTACATGTAAGGATCGGCTATAATCCCAGGCTCTCCAAAGCCATGCGGTTTAATGGAAGCTCGAACATGCTACCCAAAAGTAAATGATTTCACCACATATCACAGCTCCATTTAATTCTCGAGTGATATATTTGCACTAGACGGTAAAGTATGAATGTTCGGTTATTAAAAACTGACTTAACAAATAAGTGTCATTTGTTTAACTTCCTATTTAATATTTCTTGGAATTCTAACTGACTAAAAACCATAAATATTACACTTTCCCATCATATTAGTTACCCATATTTTAACTGGACTGGTTGTTTATTGTCTTTAATGATGGTTCAACACATTGTGAGACGGGTATGACAGGATAAACATGACGTTTCCTTTATTCCCATGAATCTAAAGCTTTTGATTATTAGAGCATTTTATGTACTAATGCTTATCCATGTATATCGTTTTTGACTGAAAGCAGCGATTTGTATGCTATCGTTGTATTTAACTTCTGGTGGGTCTCGGCATTCTATTATTGGGTTTGATCAATACTGTACCCTGTGGACTGGTTAAAGTCACTAACAGATGTTCATCACAAACCCTAGGACGACTTATGATAACTACCACGATAAAGCTTGTGTTATTGGGATCACTATGAACAAATTTACCACTGGAATTTTCAGATTTCTGCTCCATCTTTTCAGATACATTAGTGTTTATCAATAGTAACTTTAAGTTGCCAATGACCGGTTTTAGGCATAGACGATAGGTGGAGTTGAGGGTGCACACTCCTGACGACTCCCATTTTAAGAAGAGCTGACTAATGGCTCTTCGTCTTCAATGGTTGTTTAGCTGAATCCAGTTATGATTTGGAAATGCAAATCCAACACACTCTGACCACTCCTGTGCTACAAATTAGTTGATCAATTTCATAGGTTTTTTACAGACAGACTTTGATTAACACTAGGACTTCATTGCCGTAACATCAGTTATCATAACGAAATGTATGCATGGTTGGCTATTTCGTTCCGAATCTCTTTTGTCACTCACTTCCACTTTTTTTTAAATTCTCATGCATCATATCACCCCTTTTTTTGCTTTACTTCACCTATCTATTTCTAGCCATCGCCCAAATCACGGTGAACCTTGTCCCGATTGGTGGGTCTGATTATATAATCTCTTCATAACTTTTAAAAGATTTTTGTTTCGACCTTGTCGTGTTTATAATAGCATGTTTTAGTTTTTGCCACTTTTCTTTTTATTTGATTAACAATGGCCTATCGAGGCATTACTTAACTTAATCGAGTTAGCCTAATTATTCAACTGTGTTTTTATATGTGCACCAATTAAATGAAATATTTTGTATTTATTTACTGCACAAACACATATTTAGGTATATGTGTATGTATTGTTGTTTCTTATCCGTTGTATACATACGCATGCATATGTGTGGGAACCTTAATTGTTTCATCGTTTTTGGTTCCAATTTTTTATTGAAACAAGCTTCACGATATTATGTCGATGACACTTCCACTATGAGCTTTATTGATAAGTATAATAAGTGTTACTTTTAGCTGCATGTTTGGTCGAGATTGTACTTCAATTATTTCATATAAGCCATGTTTGCAAAATTATTAACTTTATCATATAGTGAATAAAAATTATAATATTCATTTTTTATAGGTTACGAATTAGTTTTCTTCAGTTTTAATTCTTTATAAGGTAGCAGTTATGACTCCTTAAGTACATCTAGCTTAAACAATCTGTTCAAATTTATTTATCGTATGATAAACATTAATAACTAATTAGTAATAAAAGTGCTAAATAAATACATCAATAGGTTTAGATTTGGTTCAATTTGTGCTTTCCAGTTCATTGATTGAAGTTGTCTGTTTATTGTCTCTATATTCTAACCTGATTGCCATGATGTAGTTGAATGTAAATATATAAAAAGTGCTATCCATAATATATTCAAATAATAATGTCCTATTTATCAAATATCCAACTACTTTTATATCTCATACAGTTTACTGATAGTATATCAAAGAGATCAATAAATAGTCAAGATATAAAAATAACATCGGTTTTGCAGTGGCTGTCTTAATCTACTTAATTCTTTAGACTGTCAATAGTTTAGAAATCTATATCATACTAAATATAAGTTAACCAGTTGACTAATAGATTAAAATGTATATTCCATTTTTGTCTCTTAAAAACAAACGATCGCTTCGATGATTATTATTTAGCTTCTTCCTTGTTCATTCATAATTCTTTAAAGTTTTTTGTTGTCCTTTTCTTTAACATAGTGTAGTTGTTTGAATTAATTATTAATGTTATATTATTTGTTGATCGTTCAGTCGATCATTTGGAATTAGAAGACTGTAGTCTCACTCCTTTGTATCATGAATACTTTATTTTAAAAACTGCACTGTAAATATATCACAGAAAATAATTCAAATTACGTCGCTATTACTTTTAGTTTAGTCAATCATGTTAAATAATTTTCAAGTGATCCTAATAATGTGAATTTTATTTTCAACTTATTTAATTAATTTGAACTATGAAGTAATGTAAGATGAACGAATTGTTATTGTAATTGCAATGTATTTTGCACAAGTGAAGTTTAGGTCAAAAACATCGACTTGTATGTTGGTAATAAAGTGTTCAAGATAACCATAAAGAACTGATTCCCTTAATGATTTTGGATAAATTGGTATTTAGAATTGTTATAACTGACGAAGATTAAAGGAATAGTAACTTTGTGGAGTAATTTATGTGCTGTATATATATATACCTTTTATCATGAACTTTTGACTAATCTATTAACTACTGTTGTAAGGTTTACTATTCTTATTCTGTTGCCATTTTACTATTCAGCCTCCTCTACTCATAGCCCTTTTTGGGCTTGATCATGTTTAATTGTCGTTTTTAATTTATGTTATGATGTGGGCAGATGTGTCTGTATACAAACTATGTATACTTGAGATATAACATTCTCATAGTGTAGGCTGATTACTATTTTCTGGACTCAGTGGGCAGGCAGAAATAGAAGCGGTCTAATCGAGTATCAATAAGGACTTAACGGTGACTAGGCTACTAGTGCCAGTTAGCGTGTCATTGGTTAGCTCAGGGACAAATTTATAGAAATCGATCAATTTTATCTCTTTATTCTGAAGGTTTTTTTATCACCAGCACGCTGATTAATTCTGTGTATTTCCTAAGAATATGTTCATAGTTGCTCCGATCATATTTTGACTTGTTAAAGGCAAACCTCAGTTGACATAATAACTACTTTAAAAAAACGTATATAAGTTAATATCATCGAAAACATTTTATATTCATTTATGTTATGTACTCCTAAAAATAAAATATTAATCTTAATTGGACGTGAGTGATTTCTGAGATTATATTGATATTTATATGAGTAAGTTACGTCTCCCTGTACTTACGAATCTATTTAAACAAGAGTTGACGGTGTCGTATCGGTTATTATGTTAAGCCCATATACCTTATTCTAGCTTTCGGACAGGCCAGTCTATTCATTCTACCTGAGTCACATTTTGACCTTGTTAATTATTCTCTTATCAATCTTGACTGTTTATCTGAGAGCATGTGTGTACCCTTCCTATTCCATTCATCACATGTCTGTAGCTTAATTTTGTGTGATTGTAAATATTAATTAACGCTTGGTTAAAGGGAGTTGGCTGACGAGCCATCTCCACTTCGCGTCATTTCGTTTCACTCTTCTTCTCTACGTCTCTCTGATTATCTGTTCCGACCAACGATTGTACAAAATATATGTATTGGGAAATCCGTTCTCGCATTTGACTTATTTATTTCCGTTATTCACTAACGCGACCTAAGTCGATAACTATGTACGAGGACAGGGGACATATATATTTCAATATCATTCATACGACCAAACTGGAGTCAGATTTAGGGCCACTAACACGGAATTCTATGTGTTAATTTTTTCTCCTTATAATGATAATTGATTGATTTGTTTTTTTTTCAAGAATATATTGTAGTATTATTGAACTCGGTTGAAAAAAATTGTTTATATCTATTAATAATTTCTCTAATTTTGCCCATAGTCTATTTTTGATGTTTCATTCATTATTATTCACTTAAATAAAATGCAATGGAATGGTTTATATCTTGTTATTTAGGTATAAGTTAAAGAAAAACAATGAATTCTTATTCAGTATGCGTGAGATTGTACACTGTAATCTTCTAACTGTTTTATATCATTACAAATATCTTAGATTCTTGGGTTAATAATTTACTCAATAGTTATATTTTTGTCATTTCTGTGTAATTTTTTTACAATTCTTATAGATTACTGGGACTAATTACAAAAATATTACTAGATGTATTATATATATTTAGACATAGGCTATGTAAGCCAAAATCTGTTGTATGAATTAACGGTTTGATTTAGCAGATATAAAACACTAGATTTCAAACTATTCAGTAGCAAGTTTAAGCTCTTTTTATATTTTAAATCATTCTACGAATTAATTGATACAAGCTGTTCTTATTGAGTAAACTAAAAAAGAGACAAGAACATGAGTTTACACATGGTTGTCAAGTTTTTTTTCTCAATTGTTTTCTAACAATATCAAACATTTTTTCCCAAAAAGAACATTCATTTGTTGTAACTATTTCTTTGTAAAATAAAAAGACTGTTTTATGCTGTCGTCTAATTCACTTTTTTGTGTTATGTGTTGTACAATACTTTTTTCCAGTTATTCAAAAGGAGTTGCTTCACCTGAACGATTTGTTCGTAGTCGCTTGTATTTCACCAGTGAAAGTCATATTCATTCACTACTTACTTGTCTAAGATATGGTGAATTAGCAGACATTGTAACAGATGAACAATGGAGACGTGCTATGGAGTATGTGTCGTCTATTTCTGAAATTAATTATCTTGCTCAAATTGTAATTATGATTTATGAAGATCCTACTGTGGTTAGTTTCCGCGGTATATATTGCATTACTTTTCTAATATTGTATTTTGTCGTTTTGTTAGTGTTATTAAACCCTGACGTATTCAACAGTTTTTTCGGAAGTGTTTATCGATTATGGAATAGTGATGGGTGCTTTTCTAAATCAGTACTATGCATTTTTTAACACTTTATTTATTATATGAAGTATATAGTATGGGATGTGCTTAGCTTAACCGATTTTGGCCTTACGTAAGTTGTACATTACATTACCTTTATTAAAATATGAAACAACTATCAGGCTTCATAATGCAGGAGCAATATTCCCTTAAAATCTGCTTATTACGTGCCGATTACGTCCAACTAACTAACTTCAAAATATGTCAAAGGTCATGGTTCTTATGCTATTATATTTATGAGATATTGTTTACCTTTTGCTTGATTTCTATCTCAAGATTTCATTTGTACTAACAATACACTAACCAATCCTAAACCAAATAATAAGCGTAACTATATTGAGTGCTGTAGTTGATGTGTATATAACGGAAAGTGGTTACCGCTTTCCAGTTACCCACATTGTAAACAAATGTTTCTTCATGAGGGCCTGAAAAACAACTGGGAATTCTCAAGTATGAGTTTAGGATTAGAGGGAATATAAGAAGTATGTTTTTTATGAATTATCTTACACAAAAGCTTATTTACATATAATAATCATTATCTATCGTCTCAATTTTGCTTAATAATTCTAAATTATCACCATTTGTTTGTCTAATTCAACCTTTTAAAAATGTAACTAGTTTTTATAAAATTTTGTCACATGTTTTTCAGATATATTTTAATAAGCATCATCCCTCATTTAAACACTATGATTATTTAGATTAAGTGAAGTGAATACTGTGTACTTCCTTGTTAAATAACACTTCTTCGAATCTTGTCTATGCCAAGCATTTCTAATCAAATAAACAGTTTAATATTAAACTGTACATAAAATTTTATTTTTACATTAATCATTAATTGGGTCTGGACATCATGCAGAAAATTTATCAATAGTAAATATTAAGAAATCCGTTAAAACAAACATTTTATTCATTGAAAACGCGAAATGTTTTCCTAATTTCCTCTCCAACTGGAAGTTGATTTCTCCTCTCCCACAGCCTGTTGCTGATAGTATCCGACCAACGGACATTAAGTATCTTTCGTAGACAGTTGTTTATAAATACCTGTACTTTTGATGATGGTTGTAGTAGTTCTAGAAGTTTTAGCTCCGTACAGTAGAACTGTTCTGACGTTGGCATTGAAGATTCTGTGGTTGATACTGGTTGACAGTTGTTTTGAGTCCCATATGTTTTTCAGTTGTGGGAATGTTGCCCTAGCTTTGTCGACCCTCTTTACGTCTGCATCAGATCCTCCTTGTTCATCGATGATGCTGTTCAGGTACATCAGAGTCTCCACATCTTCCAGAGATTCTCGTTCAAGTGTGATTGGGTTGATGTTTTCTGTGCTGTATTTGAGGATCTTGCTTTTCCTTTGTGTATGTTGAGGTCTACTGATGCAGAGGCTTTTGCCACACTAGTTGTCTTGAGTTGTATTTTTCCGTGTATATGGGATAGAATGACCAAGTCATCTGCGAAGTCCGAATCTTCTAATTGATTCTGAGCTGTCTATTGTATTCAGTGCCTTCCCTCAGATGTCGAGGTCCACCAGAAGGGGGGATTAGGCAACCGTGTCTGACTCTGATCCTTATTTAGAATGCACCTGTCAGCATTGTAGTCCTTCGTCAGTCAGTCAGTCAGCTACAACGTAGGACCAGGATCAGTCCGTCGTATGAGTTCCGGATTATGTTGGCGATTTTCTCAGGTACTCTATAGTGTCGAAGAATTTTCCATAATGTTCTCCTATCCACACTGTCAGATGCCTTCTCATATTCAATCAAGTTGAGTTATAGTAACGAGTTCCACACAACTGATTATTCAACGATGATCCGTAACGTTGCGATTTGGTCTGTGCACGACTGATCCTTACAGAATCCAGCCTGGTGATCTCGATGTTGGGTGTCTACTGAATCTTTCATCTGGTTCAGCAACACTGTTGAAAACGTTTCCTGGTACTGACAGTAGTGTGATACCTCTGTAGTTTCCACATTCACTCAGATATCCTTTCTTTAGAATCTTGATGAGCTGTCCTTCTTTCCAGTCCATCGGCACGTGTTCTTCCTCCCAAATCTTCCTGAATAGACAGCGGAGCATGTTTGCAGTTGCTTCTGTGTTTGACTTCAAGGCTTCATCTGGTATATTGTCAAATCCAGGTGCTTTCTCGTTCTTGATTTGTCTTATGGCACTCTGGATTTCTGTCTGTGTGCTGCTTCGATGTCCAGTGGATTTAATGGGGCTGGCCCATTCAAGAGTTCCTCCAGTGTTCCACCATCTGTACATCTGTTCTTAAATATCAGTGATTGGCCTGCCTTCTTTGTCTTTGACCGGTCTCTCTGGTTTACTATATCTCCCTGCTAGTTTCTCCGTTGTATCATACAGCTGTTTCATATTTCCTTCTCTTGCAGCCTTTTCCGCCGTCATTGCTAGTTCTTCCACGTATTTCTTCTTGTCGGCTCTAATGCTCTTCTTCACTTTCTTGTCTGCTTCTATGTACTTAGTTTGCGCCTTGACTTTCTCTGCTCGTGTTCGGCTGTTGTTAATTGCTGTCTTCTTGTTCTTCCTTTCTTTGATCTTGTCCAGTGTATCTATAGAGATTCATTCCTTATGATGATGCTTGTTGAGGCCCAGAACCTCTTGACACGTTGAAATTAATGCTTCTTCGATACCTTTCCAGTTGTCCTCCATAGTCGTTTCTTCTTCCTTCAGTAGATCTTGTAAGGCTTGGGACCTGTTGTTGAGAGCTATCTTGAATTCATTGAGTCTGTCAGTATCTCGAAGGAAGGCTGTATTGCAGCTTTGTATTGCTGTTTGTCCAGTTGTCCAGTACTTCTTTAGCTGCATTTTTAAATTGGCCACAACTAGGTGGTGATCTGATGCTATGTCAGCTCCTCTCCTGGTTCTAACATCTTCCATTGTCCTTCGGAATTTTTTGTTGATACAAAAGTGATCCATCTCGTTCTCTGTGGTGTGATGTGGTGAGATCCATGTGGCTTTGTGTATGCGTTTGTGTGGAAATATTGTGCCACCTATGACCAATTTGTTGAATGCACTCGGAGTTGCAAATCTTCCCCCATTTTCGTTTCTCCTAGTCCATGTCGTCTCATGATATCTTCATATCCGGTGTTGTCCATTCCGACTTCGGCGTATAGGTCTCCTATCAGAATGGTGAGATCCTTTTTTGGGCACTTCGTTATGATTCATTGCATCCTCTCATGGAACTTATTCTTGTTGTCTTCTTTGCTATCATTTGTGGGTACATAACACTGGATAACATTCATTGTAATTCCCTTCTTCTTCGTTTTTGAAGAAGCTCGTGAGCCCATAAGATTCCCGCCCAATAAGTGCATTGCATGCTTGTTTAAACAACAACAAACCAAGCCCGTGAGTGTGTGGAGCATTTTCCTTTTCGTGACCACAGTACAGCAGCATATCTCAAGTTTCTAGCCTTTGTTATCCAACTTGGATCCAATGGGTTTCGCTGATTCCCAGTACTGCCAAGTTGTATCCCTTCATTTTCGTTGCTGTTTGGCTGATTTTCCTGGTCTCCCACATTGCCCGAAAGTTCAATGCACCTGTGAAAATTATTGCTCTGGTTTTTTGAAGAGTCATCGGCCTCATGACTTCTGAAGAATCTTGGCTTTCTTCCTGAGGCGTCATATTTCCTCCTTCAGTCCCCAGGGTAGAGTTTAAATGGTTTATTTTGTTTAGTCTGGTTAGCCTATTTTTAGCAGGATTTTTTTTCTACATGGTGGATTTGCCGACCCATATCCAATCCTCCTCGTTTACCCGGGCTTGGGACCGGCAGTATCTGTAGGAGAGCTACTGGTGGAGTTACGATCTAAACATGATTGACAATTATTATGGTAATTTTCGTCAAATATCAATGTTTAAATTCATAACTGTGAAACGTTTCCATGAATGATGAACTATAGACCAATGAGAATTATACTTGACGTAATATTCGTGCCATTTTGTTTCATCAATATGTTGGTTAGCAAGAATAACTCGCATGTTATATCCCTCAATACGACGTTAAGCTGTATCATTTGGAGTCTTCGTATACTATGGAAAAACTTTATCACTTAAATTGCAAGTGGTAAAGGGTTTATCTTCATTCCGACATTTAATGATACCACTTGAACAGTCGTAAATGCTTCGTCCATGTTTCATTTGTTTTTCTTTAAAAAAGCACATCTAAACCAGTCAAACCGGTGGCAGTTTTTACATCAATCTTCTGTGTTTTCGGAAATTTGCATTAACAATGAACACTTTTTATAAATTATTTCAAACCGTAGGAACCGAAAACTGAAAAACGATTCCATGTTGAATTACACTTTAGTCCTGGTGCTTTTGCATTATGTCATGATCTCCCTGAAGGGAGTGGTTTTCGATCGGGAAAATTGGTGGTAGGTTTTTATTATTTACCTCACATATGATTTATCGCTAGACCTTTTGAAAGAAAAAACGTTTTTCTTTGCATTTTATAACAGATTTTGTTAAATAATGCAAAAAAATATTGCTAGCTACCTGTGCACAGAGTGTACGTCTTATGAAAACCTTATAAAGAATCAAGTCTGGCATAAGTTAATGCTGAAAATATTCTCAGTTTAAGATTACTATGTGAAGACATTTTGGTGATACTGAGGCTTTTTAGTTTAGATATCTGTTTCTTGTTTTCAAATGAGTGACTGATATAGAATAATGTGTAGATTTGAGGTCATGTATCTAATTTCGATAAAGTCACCTCTTGAAAACTGTTGGCTGTTTGTAGTTGCCTATTATTTTATACTAAGCAGTTGAGGGATTTCAGTTTAGGATCCTGCTTCGGTCTGAGTACCCGGGTATTATCACAGCCCACACACAAATCAAGTGACTTGTGTGGCGCATATGTATTCGGTGCACCTTTTTAGCAATATTTATGTGTTCAAATAATAATATGTAACAAATAATTCAGTTTGGGATATCCCAGTATCTGAATATCTTTCAACAAAAGTTATGTTCTATGATTGATGCATCTTTAGTATGCTCCATTATATTAGTCCATTGTTCTTCATCATAAATAAAATTCAACACCTTTCAATACATTCAGTATGAATTTATTCATTACAATAGTAAGTTGTCGATCATTTTTTGTTTGATGAGCATTATGCATAATTTTTTGTTGAAGATGATAAGTTCAAGGTTTGAGATTAACAACTAACACATTCCCTGTGAGAGAAAACGTTTTTGTCTCATTATGACACTAACCTGCTCCGACGAAATGATTTTATCAACCAATTCTTGATATCGAAATATCCTCGACTTATTGTTAGATTATTTATCTATAATCAGTGATGATTAGGATTTAGTGAATAGGAAATTTCAAAGTGAAAACACTAATCACCATAATATATTTCTTAGGAAAAGGTAATTGTTATATATTAAACTCTTGTTATATTAATGTTTCATCATCCGTATCTTGATAAGTGGTATTTCCTAGCTTTCTCACCTATTCTGCATAACAAAACGTTATCATCATATTTTGTTTGCTGAGGCCGTTGTTTTTTCATGCATTTATTAAGTAGTCTAATTCTCATTATAACTTCAACTATATGCTGGACTGTGTATACCCTAGTTTGTAAAAAATGAAGTTTGTTTCTTGTATAGTTTCACTTTGTTTTAGAGGTTATGCATTTGTTATTGCTTACCATATTAAACAAATAAATATTGTATATCCTAGTCAGTTTTTATTGTCTCATAAAACTATCCCCATTTTTTCATCTCATCCTGATTTTATTTCCTTCCTCATCACTATCATATGGACACTGACGGGTTTTACGTACGTTCATAAATTTACAACCTAAAAATGGGTAATTTTTGCTCAAAAATGTTTTAATATGAAATTCGGCATTGTGTTTTGCTTCCTTTATTTCTCTGATTCATACCATATATATGTCTGCGTAAACATTATGTATAATTGTTTAATTTTTTACTTTTGTTTGTGTGCACGGGTTTATGCATGTGTACTCATCTGTGTTGCTCTTCACGCTTACTTTGTATATCACTGTTTTATTATTTCGCTTTATTGCTTGCTATGTTTCATTCTTGCATCTTTGTATGTATGTATTTCGGATGATGAACATCTTTCATATACTACATACTAATAAATAAATAGCGTCTGAATTCTCAAATGAGTGTAATGAGTAGCGGTACATCTGTGGATAAAGGAAGTTCCGACTCAATGCCGCAATCAGCAATCCCTTCTGTTACACCTATTGTTCCTGCTAGTGAACAAGACAGGAAAGATCTGTTTGATAAATATAGTGGTAGACAAACAGATCGAAGTAGTGAATATCACCAGAATCTTGGGTCATTTGACTCGAGTGAATGTTCATTCTCGGGATCTTCCGCTAACGACAAAGCTTCAGGTAAATCTACAACAATGGTATCAAAAAAACTTGATTCTTTAGATTTGTTTCGTTGGAGTTTTGATAGTGATAGGAATACGTATGAATTATGTAAGAATCAAACAGAGACTTTTAATGATTCATCTCTTACCGAGCAATGTCCGGTTCGCAGGTCACATAGTGTTCGTTGTAACCTCGCTTCAAATGTTTCTCGAGAAAACACTGTTAATCACGAAGAAACTTTGATTGTCAACCACAGATCGCAATCTCAAGGTCGTCCTTCTGTTTTGCCATTATCACCTGTACCATCAACCTCTACGCTAGAATTAATTGGGACTCCTACAGCGTCAAATACAGAAGTTGGTATTGGACGATTTACTGTCACGCGGTTCACTGATAATAAAAGTAGTTTGGGTTCAACTTTTCCAAATGAATCGAAAACTGATAAATTATTGTCGACATTACCGTATACAAATAAACTAAAAACATATCACCTCAAACATTTTTCACGTTCGAATTTCTGCCAAAATTCTGCCCGTAATAGGTCTAGTTCGTGTCATCCTGATGTTTACAGAAGGACAAATTTAGCTACAACCCTATCATCAAAACCTAGATATTCATGTATTTCAAAATTACTTCAAACGACAGGTAAGCTTACTGATTTTGGCGACTTTAAGAAATATGATTATAATGAAAAACTGTCTTTTGAATGTTCCTGTTCAAATACTAATTCGTCACGTTTCGCTCCTGTAATTCAATGGCTTTCAAAGCAGTCAGAACACTTAGTGAAATCAGATGAAAAATGTGACAATGGGGATCACAAATCAAATCCAATCAACATAGAAGACAAGGTAAGAAATAAATGATATTTACTGGTTTATATCTAGAGATGAGTTATTAGTTCGTTTTATATGGAAATATTTAAATATATATATTTTTTAAACAGTTTAAACATCCTGAAAATCTTGACTTACATACGTAGTTTAAATCATACTATTCAAAGCTGGATATAGTATGATTGAAATTATTTGTAAAAGTTAATTCTCAGTGTCATAGTGAACTACTTATTTCAAAGCATGATTATTATTATCAATGAAAAAGTTTTATCCTAATAAATTTAAATGTCAAAGGATTAGAAATATTGTCGCGTCAACAAAAGTGTCATGAATAATTTATGACGACTAACTTTTTGATGCAATTATTTTATAAACAGATATTTCGCTTAATTGTAAATTTTCTGATATAATGATAAAGATTTTTTTTGAGAATAAAATTTATCGTCCTATTGTGGGACTCCTCAGCAGTCGAGGATGCGCACTGCTGAGGAGTCCCACAATAGGACGAAACGGCCGTCCAGTGCTTCCAGGTTTTCCACGGTGGTCTAGCTTCAACTGACTCATGATCTTAACCATTGAAATTACCACAATCTCCGCAAAACCCATCTGATATTAATAAAATTTGTATTAATATTCGGTTGATATGTGATTCATACATTATAATATACTTGTCTTATTAAAATTCCACTAATGATTCTACTTTTCATTCTCTCACTTTCAGTTTATATCTACTTATATTTTGATATTGAAACCTTGAATTTATATATCGGATTATTTTATACTTTTGTCTCCTCGCCCGTCGTAATCAAAGTATCTATTTATGCTTGGTGGCAAAATTTCATACATCCATTCAATAAATTGTTTAGTTATGTTTCATGACTAGGGTGGCATATAATTTTACAGTAATGACTATTATTTTATTGTCAACATAATTTTTTGACAATTATCAAAAGTTTATTTTTCAACTATTAATCCATTTTGTATGATGTTTTTATCATGTAATTGTAGTTTGATTATTATTATCATTATTGTTGCCCACGTGTCTTCTGGTTGTAGAGAGTTCGAGAAACACCGAAATGGCTAACTTTGGGGGCTCGTAAATGTGAGTATACGTTCTTTTAAGTATCATCATGAGATTGTTCTTGACAATTTCACCATCATAGTAATTTCTTGCATGAGAGCTTTTTTTTCTCTTATTCATTTAACTTTCTTTTTCTTCTTGCATCTGCCACTTCTTGTTAAGAAAGATTTTTAGCTCTGTAAGAAATTCTCTGTGTGCATTATGCCAAATTTATATGCGAAAATAAAATCAAGACAGTACGTTCTTTAATTGACTGGAAAACGTTTAATTTTATTTTCACCATTATTAAAATACCTTTCATCAGTAAACATTTATAATGCCCATCAGTGATGAAATTCTGTTCTTCTTCTCTTAATAATCAGTTTCCGTAGCCTTTCTTCAGTGTAGTTAATACCTATGTGCTTCTCGGATACATTAACACTGTTGTATATATATGGTTATGAAATAAGTATTAATTCGCTCATTCAATAAACTATTTCTTAAATCACCTTTTTTATAATGAGTGGAATCGTCGGCATTTAGCTATTGGAAATGGTTTCATTGTTCCTTTGATGAAGGAATTTTAGTATCTACTAATTACCATTTTAACCGTATTGATGGAATACTAATTATTATTAAATCCGTTTAAATAACAAACTGTTACAAACATTTTCTCAAGATCTAAAAATGCAAACCAATGTTTTACTTTTAATTCCTCGGAGTTTTGCAGTTCACGAGTCTTTGTTAGGTGTCCGATAATTATTGTGGCTAGTGTTTAAATGCTATATTTGTCAAACTAATCCCTTTATGGTTATAACAGGATGATTTTAACCCCTCCTTATATATTGGGAAGATCAGTAATTGCGACCAGTCAGATGGGATTACGGCGAATTCCTAGATTTTGTCTAAAACACTAGTTAACCTAATCGCTAAAACTGGAGCATCATACTTAAAGACATCTGGAGTTAGTTCATCTGGACCAGCTGCTCTTCTTCTTTTCAGATTAGCTATAGCTTTCTGAACTTTATTTGGAGTAGATGATCTACTTCAATGTTCCATTCAGACTGTTTGGGAATGGTGAGTGGCTGTGTAAGGTAGCTGAAGGCCAGCTGAACTGCCCCTTAAAGTGTTCCACCCATCGTTCTAAATATCTAGACTGAGAGCAGATAAGGGTGTCGTCATTTTCTGAGATTGTCTCACTTACATTTGTCTTCTTAATTCCAGTTTTTTTATTAGTCTGGTGTTACCTACAGCCCCCTCCTTTTCCATCTCTTTTGCTTTCGTTGCCCACCACTGCTCACGGTCGTTCCTTAGACTTTTACTTAACCTAGATCTGATTTGCTTTCGTTCACCATCGATTTCAGAACTTGATGGGATGAGTTTACGATAACCCATCAGTGCAATAGACTTAGAAGAAATCCATTGGATTTTTGTGACACTGGTTTAAATCACTAATAAATGTCACTGCTATTTCCACAACTGTTCGTATCTTTCCAAGATACATCTGGGTCAACCTCGTTTTCAGAACTGCTCAGTGTGACCTCAGTTGTTGCTGGAATAGTCTTTTGGTTTTCTCATTACTCAATTCAATGCTAATGGCTCTTTTTATTGTGACTTTTCTGCTTCCAATGAGGTGCAAGCAGATACGTAGCCGTATTAGAGCATGGTCGGAGTCCAAGCAGGTATTCCAGAACGAGCGACAATCTTCCGTCGAGCCTCTCCAAGGATGAGTGATGGCAATATGGTCTATTTGAGTTCATCGTCGGTTTGGTGCAGGGGATCGCCATGTTAGACGATGTCTTCCCTTAAGTTTAAAATTAGTTTGCTAAAAACAAACGATTGTCTGAGAACAGTTGCAGCAGACGATCACCATTATCTACTGTCTGAGTGTTTAGCTTTTTGAATACGTTTAGAAAGTTTTCTGTAAAAGTCATCTTTCACTTGATACGGGCTGCAGTCAGTGGGGATGCAGGCAGAAATGACGAAAAGGCAACGACGTGTTTCCTCATCTTTTTGAGTTCGTACGGAGCCGTTTAGCCGAACAGCATATAAACGACTGTTAACGGAGATCCATTCTAATGGTGCTTGTTCTGAGCTCGTACTTAGTGCTATACCTAAACCTGTCAGTCCACGAGAACTAGCCATCGGGTCGTCAAATACACGTAGGGTGTATCGTCAACTCTCCATTTTGGCGAGGTGAGGTTAAGTGAATGACCACATTAGGATCCTGTATGCTTGAGGTCGGTCACTTACAACCTTTTTTGAGTAATTTTCGTGTTAGGTTCGTACTTGTTGGGACCTTACCGACGCTGCGGAACAATTGTCCCCGCCAGTATAGCCCGATTGGTTCATCACGATAGGCAAGCCTGACCATCACGTCAAGGTAGCAAAAACGTTATCTGTCACTGAAAAGCGTAAAAAAGAAATAAATCAACTTATTACGGGTTCTATTCGAGCACTAATGGGTCGAGTATAGAGCTTATGACCATCTGAAGTCAGACGTGTCAACCTCAATTGGTGTTCGTCAAAGCTGTCCATTTATCTTATTTCTGTCGTAGACATTCTTTTAGAGATAACTTTCTCTCCGTTTACCTTCTCAGGAATTGATCTCCCACCAAGATATTCACTTGCTGACTTAGTTAATGACGCTAGCAATATACAGACTCTTCTGATCGACTTAATAGATGATCAGGAATATTTCAGATGCGATTTTCTCCCTCTTCATGAAAAATCTTGCTTCGTATCTATTCAGTTTTATTAACTGAGGCATTGTATTTTCATTTACTACAATACTTTGTACATGTATTAGCTGTGCCCAACCGCCGTCTACCCTGATGGTTGTTATATAGTACAGGAATAGTCAGGAACAAAGCTAAGTGTGGCCATACCAAACCGTGGCACCAGTCCATGAAGTCATTGACAGATGGGTTAAACCATGTGGGTAAGTACAAGCTACCTAGTTTGGGTTCATATGAATATCGTAATTAGTGGATGGAGACATTGTATAATATGGTGATGTGTCTTGTCGTTTGAATGCTTACTTGTTATATCCGGTCGTCTCTGATTGTTATGTTGGAAACGCTTATCACTCGTACTCAGAACGAAGGACCTCTGCAATTCCCACGACGCGAAAGTACGAACACAAAGACTGGTATAAGTTGAGATTTATTAATTCCAAAACACGACGACGACCCTAGTCGAAAATAAACTCATTTATATATTGATTGTACACCCATTTTGATTAATAATTAGGATTAAATCACATACTCAGTTATAACAAATCACCTACTGAGCATAGTTCATGTCAAGTGGATACAAGAATATCGTTTATTATACAGAAAATATTATATTGGGAAAACAATCAAATAATACACTGAATGATCATTACATTGAATCATAACGGTAGTAATGTTGAACAAAACTCATAATTAGTAAATCAATTGAATTTTGACTTGATTCTCGTCATATCATACGGCTCAAAATTAATCTTAATGATTCAGGTACATTCACTCTCTTTCCTCAAATCCTGATCCCGAAATCTAATATATTTTTCTTTTTTCCCTAGTCTCTTCTACTATTAATCCTTCTTCTTCTAACCTAGGCTTTAGTTTTTGATAATTTCGTTTCACTGTGCTAATGCAGTATGACAAATTGGATCGATACTTATATGTGCCAAATTTTGCATTACGTATGACTGATTAACTTTTTTTTCAAAAGGAATGATAAACATTAGTCCTAAATCTTGATGTTTTATGAGTATCACAAAGTTAAACGTCGTCAATCATAGATTGACCCACAACAACAAAAACAACATCTAGGCGTTGACCTTTATTCTTTATTCATGAAAATATTTTTTTAGCGGAACAATGTGCACTTAAAAATAAGTATGGTAGCGTGTAATTTTATTGTTTACCGCTTTTTTTCTATTCTGACATTTCATTCCACCTCTGTTTAAATAGTCTGTAATCAATTTGTTTTCGTTATTAGTATACGATTCGGCTGGTTCAAATAGTTCTACTAGAATAAATCAACATAATAGCACAGGCTCTGTTCATTCATCAAAAAATCAAGATTTAACTTCCACATCTACTCGAGCTCGTTTAACTCCACTTCCTTCTGATGAACCGGTGTGTCCCAACGAATCGACTCAATTTGCAATGGATTTGCCATTTAGTCAAATTAATTCTCAACCAGTCAATAATTTTTTGTCATCATCTGGGGCTGACAGTGGTGTAGATGATGATCCTGTTATCAACCAAACTTTGAATGCTATCACTTACCCTAGTCGTCAAAGTCCATATCATTTAGATATCGGACGTCTTATAAGAGGTATGTTTTATAACAAAAAAAGGAATATAACCTATCTCTATCATTCAATTTAATTAGTGTTAAAAAGTTTAAAATTTCATTAATTTACTAAGAAAATTTATATTCTTTACATAAATCCATAGACTAGTTATATCTCTGTCAGTCAGCTAATTGCTATGAAATGTTTCTTCAAAATGCTCTGGCTAGCAGTACCTATAAATACATATCACCATACCACGTTGTCTTCAAATGCCCTTGTACAACCAAGGGTGGAGAGAGTTTGCTCTCTCTCGAAATGCTCTCACATGACCACTCCTGTACAGCCACTACCAAGAAAGTCCTACTCACTGCCTACTTGCGGTAAGGTGTTTTTTACCAAATTGAGAGGATGAAGAGCGAATGTTTGGCGCTCTAACCGGTTTGATGGAAACAGAAGGTCCACCTAGGAGAGTTGGAAAACCCTGATTCTAAACCAATAGTGCACATGGTCTCCAGTATCCTGAAAGAACAAATGGCGTATGAACCCATCGTTGGTCACCGGCTACCATGGAAGTGCAACTCCTTACATTGCTCCACTCCCTTGTGGATTAGACCTTTAGGTCAGAGGCTCCAGTTGTGACCTTCTAAGAAAACCATCAGCTTTGGTTGGGCACCCGGCTAATATTCCAGCCCTCACACAAGTCAATTATAATCACTACTGGACTCATTATTATTGTGTGGTGCATATTTATTCGGTGCCCCCTTGTACCAATGTTTGTGTTCAAATAAATAAAAAATTTTTGCTTATTACTTTTCAAACTACACTGAATGTATAATTTGGTTTATCTTCGTTACAGAATTTCGTTGCAGTAAACATTTTGTTTAAAAATTTCCAGTTATTCTTTTCATGAAAGGATACTTGAAAACATATTTCGAAAAAAAAATCTGACAACTAGATTGTTGTTTTCTGTTGAGCGATATTTTCTTTTTTTTTAATAATTTTATAATGTATGGGTTCAACTGATTCATTATTTAGAGATATTCGCTAATGTTCATATATATGTATATATAATATTCAGCATTATCGACAAACTTCAGCTTAATCAATATTCTACTTACATACCTTTTTCTTTAACTGTGACTAATGTAATTACAAGTTATTATTTCTTAAGCAAATATCTTGTTTTTTGGTCACGATAGAGTCACCTCCCAGTACATACTATGATAAAGAATAATCAGTTTTATTAGTTAAAAATACCATTAACTTTATATTCCGACCAGATCATATACAGTATACTGTCATCTTATTTAGATGAATTGTGTGTATACTTGCACAATTTGGAATCTTTTTCATCTGTATTTTAGAAACTGAACAGATCTACAGACGTTTCAGTTCTGCAGCCCGTAAATTATATGTTCTATACATCACTTTTCATTTATACAGTGTTCGTTGTTTTCGCGTAACATCATTTGGCATCATTTTTGTATTATTGCCTGTTTCTAGTTTGAATAGATGGTGCATGGTTTGTTGATACAGTACATTTCATTTGACCTGGACTAACGGCCTCTGTTTAATTAAACTATTGTATTCAAACATCTGACCTATAGTACTTATAGATAATATCTGAAATGAATAAATCATAGAGATTAAGAAACACTACACTTTTCATATTTGCTAGTGGTTTTAAATCTTACTCTCGACTGTCACCATATTTTTCACCATGCTCCTAGTATGGCATTGAAATCATGAACTGATATAAGTTAAGTAAAAACTAGAAGCCTCGAAGTACTGGACAACCATTTCGTCCCAGTATTGTGACTCCTCGGCCGTATGCATCCACGACCTTGCAACGGGGGATGGAACTCAGGACCGGTAGATCAGTGGACTGTGTTCAAGTTTAACTTCAATCAATTCACGGCTTCGCGTGACCATCTTCCATTGACTTAAGTGAGTACCTTTCCCACACCCAACAGAATTTTCTCCATTGATCACGGCTGCTTACAAGTATTCTGGAAGTTCCCTCTCGAAGCTAGTCACTGGTAAGCTCATGACAATTTTCAGCATAGTTTTGCGAAAATTGTTTGGCGTCCTCATTTGACGATGTAGGTCCTGAGTTAGATTCCTGCCTACGAGGTCATGGGTGCAGATTGCTAGGGATTCCCATACTAGAACGAAACGGCCGTCTAGTACTTTCAGGTTTACAATGGTTGTCCAACTTAGATTGGTTTGTAATTTCAATGAAATTCAACAATCTCCTTAAGCCCATACTGAAAACTTCCTTTACTGGTTTTCAATGTAAGCAGTGAGTGATTTTCTTAAAGTCGGTTTTTGCTTCAAAATTGCTTTTTAAAACTAGCTTATTGTTATTAGGATGATATATATTGTTTGCTTCTCTCTTATCATCTGCTGTTATAATTAGTCATACCATTTTTGTTAGTCGGAACATAATTTCTCATGTATATTTAGTCAGTTACTGTCGTATTAGTGTGAATGCTCTTAAGGCTTCATACATTACTTACTTACGCTTGGAAGCTTTTTGTTTCAGTATATTAACTATTTATCGCCTTACAACATTTTGTTTATTCTAGTTTGTGTTAGGTTTCTCAGTTCTTATGTTTATTTTTGTAAGGAAAAAGTACAAGAAATATAACTATTACATATCTCTGTGCTTCTTTTTTTTCTCTACAAAAATAACCAAAGTGATGCTAAATAATATCAGTTAGATAAAAACGTGTAAATGATACTTTGTAGATTATCACTTAAATATAATTACAACCGTTGTAAAACATTTAATCCCTTTTGAAAATTATAATAGTCTCATATAACGCTAATGTGAAATGCTGTTTGTATGTTCGCTTTTGATTTTGTAAAGTTTTGTCTGCTTCGAATATAAGACAATATGTTATTCTTTCAAAGCAGTCTTATTTGGTGAATATCTAAATAATTTTTGTTTTTCCTAACAAATATTCTCATCATGTTTTATGAGTTTATAGTATTAAAATATCATGTGTATAACAACAGTATAAACACTTGTAATTCTTAGTTTTTCTTATACTCAAATGTAGTATAGTTACTGAAAAAGAAAGTTCGGACTGAATATTTCTATAGGTTTTTGATGTTTTTGAAATAACTATGCATGATATTGGAAAGATTTTCATTCTATTATAGTATAAGGCATTAATAGGTTTCAAGTTTGTTTTTTGCTTTTATTCGATTTGATGTTGGTTTGTTGCACGTCATTTATGGATGCATGTTGTTCCAACTTTTATTTTATCATCTACACTTATAAAAATACTAAATGCATTCATCAATATTTTATTTGATGTACTTATAGATGGCATACATTTTTCGTAAATAAAATTATCACGTGAATATCTAAATAGTACTTTGATACTAATTGTATGTAATATATGTATCTACCAGTTTTACCAACTCTACAACATTGCGACTAACTTGTAGTTCGATTTCAGTTCTAAATTTTTTGATACTCTAGAACATATAAGTTTGTGGTTATCAGTGCTATCCAAGACGGACGTTATTTAAAACTCATCAGCTTAATGTAATTGAATCCCAGTGTTGTTAACACTAAGATATAAATTAAGTGTTTTACACTTCAAAAACTTAGCTTGTTAGTCTAGTCATTGCCTTGTTCAACGGGTTTCGATATATACATTATTACCGGTTCTATAGAACCAGTTAGCTCAAGATGCACATGTACCATCTATGATTGGTCAAAATACATTCCTAAATATCAACAAAGGGATATCTCTAACCTTTTCTATTAATGACTTCAAATTTCCCAGTTTGATAGATCGATAAATTGTTCTATGTATCAACATATTTATTTATTTATTCAGATATATAAACATTGGTACAAGGAGGCAACAAATATATGCGCGCCACACTTCGTCATTCGATTTGTCTGAAGGCCGGGATACTTCCCCGGCGTCCAAACCGAAGCAATTAGTTTTCTTACATACATATACATATACTCATTTACTGAGATTATTTCGTTTAGCTCATTTTCATCATGTACCTTTATCTGTTTGTATTCTTGTAGATTTCATTCATTCTGTTGGTAATTTACTAAATAGGTTCGTTAAGTTTTTTATCCTTTTAATATCCCTTTTTTAACGGCCCCACTGCACCTTCTCCCTCACGTTAGCCTTATCGTTTTCCTTACTAAACACCAAGTTGTTGTACAATTTCATTCTCTTTTAATTTATCAGCATAAAAATTGTCAAGCTATTTGCTAGAAACATTTCAATTAACTCAGACAAACTCAAGTTTCAAAGTAATAGTTCACCATTTCCTGTTTATAGCAATTGATTGTCCAAACAAATAATTGATAGTTATATTCAAGCGTTACTAGAGATACATCTAATAAAATGAAGCAAATACACGAGAAAAATGAAAACTATTTATCACTATTTATTCCTTTTTTTAGCTGTTGCCACGGGAGCGCCGTTTGCACCGCCAATATGTCGAAGTCTTATAAGTACAGCGGTTATACGTGGTTCACGTGATGATAGCCAAGCATCTAGTAGTGTTCCTGATTTTAAGAGATTAACAGAAGATATAAGCGTGGCACCACGAACATTAACACGTAAGTGATTTGTTCACTTTAACTATTTGTTTTTATTGTTTTTTTCTACCGAAAAACGCGACTTCCACATTTCTTTTATCTGGATTATTACTTACGCCTGTTACACCCCTCTTGAAGGAGCATAGGCCACCCACCAGCATTCTCCATACAACTCTGTTCTGAGCAATCCTTTCCAGTTGCTATTAATCCTTTTCATATCTGCTTGAAATTTTCAGCGTAGTATGTTCTTTGATCTTCCTCTTTTCCGTTTCCACTCAAGATTCCATATTAGGGCTTGTTTCCGTGACGCAGTTTAGTGGCTTCCTCAGTGTATGTCCTATCAACCTCGAGGGTGTTTTCGCAGTTTCCTCTTCAACAGGGAGCTGGTTTGTTCTCTCTCACAGTAAAATGTTACTGACGGTATCCGGCCAACGGACATTAAGTATCTTTCATAGACAGTTGTTTATAAATACCTGTACTTTTGATGATGGTTGTAGTAGTTCTAGAAGTTTTAGCTCCGTACAGTAGAACTGTTCTGACGTTGGCATTGAAGATTCTGTGGTTGATACTGGTTGACAGTTGTTTTGAGTCCCATATGTTTTTCAGTTGTGGGAATGTTGCCCTAGCTTTGTCGACCCTCTTTACGTCTGCATCAGATCCTCCTTGTTCATCGATGATGCTGTTCAGGTACATCAGAGTCTCCACATCTTCCAGAGATTATCGTTCAAGTGTGATTGGGTTGATGTTTTCTGTGCTGTATTTGAGGATCTTGCTTTCCCTTTGTGTATGTTGAGGTCTACTGATGCAGAGGCTTTTGCCACACTAGTTGTCTTGAGTTGTATTTTTCTGTGTATATGGGATAGAATGACCAGGTCATCTGCGAAGTCCAGTTTGTCTAGTTACATCCATGAATTATTTGATAGAAATTGATGTTGTGCATACAATGATAAGAACCCATTATTCAACAATGTTTTTAGTTATCATATCCGTATTTATTCAATAATACACGTGGATATCATACATAGTAACAGTTAAAGCATTTGATTTTCATTTATCTGGTCTCACATCTTAACTAAGCTCCCCGCTCACTTAAAACAGCCTTGTTGGATAAAATCACATTTCATCAAAAACACAAATGTCTGATTTATAGTTGAGTTAATTTACTTTAGTATATGTAACAAACTTTCATTAAGTGATTAACAAGTAAATGGATTAGTTACCTCCTCTAAAGTACATAAATTCAGAGTGCTCTCTTGGTTCGCTACTACACTTCTCCATATTAATAATAAATCCCTCACAACCTAATGCGGAATTTTTTCCTTAGCATTCTTTTTATTTTCCTCTCGCTTTATCTTTTATTGAATAGACGAGTAGCTTATAATGACCTTTGACCTAAACTGCAGTTACGTGTTTATTTTCTTTATAAACTCTAAAAGAGTATTGTTATCAATAGTTTTACTAATAATCTCCACACAAACATCTTTTAGCTACTATATCTCAATTTATTTACTAATTTTATGATTTCTAGCTGGAAGCTCTCAAGAATTTTTGGTTCCCAGTGCGCCATGTGTCCCAGAAGTGTACCCCCTGGAAACACTACATAACGCTTTAACTTTAAGTCAATTGGAAGCCTTTCTTGTTCGTTTAACTACTCATAAGTTTCCGACTCCATTTACATCACCGAAACACCCATCTACTCCTGTAAATTATTATCACCATCACCATCAACCTCAGTTAAGTCAAACTACTCTTGAGTTCTTCTCTCAGTATCACGACTTGTGTACTAATCTATCTTCTTCACTTCCGAATTCTACTGGAGATGATACTGCAACACAGGACTGTTCCAATATTGTTGATGAGGCCTCTACTCAAGTACAGCAACCTGTGTCATCAAATGTTACGTCAATAATCCCATCCGCTTCACCGTTTCAAAAAATTACTTCCGGAAATACAAATTACCAACAGTAAATCAAAAAAATTCCGACTGTCTTTTCTTCCCTAATTAATAAAAGGTTAGTAATTCTGTGGTGGTATAAGTAAAATTCTTCTAACTCAATTTGTTTGGAATAAAAGTGATATCTAAGTTGACTATCAGTTAAATCTATACTAATAATTAATTTACTATAGCCGTGATATTACAAAGCTTTTCAGCACAATTTTCATGAAAAGTCTTTCGATTATGTAAAACCGACAAAAATACCGGTCGATAGTGTTTATCTAATGTAACGAATTCCAGAATAATAAAAAGTATTTTTACTGATTGTCATAAAGAATGAATGAGATAATCCATGTAACAGGTTAATCCAAAATTAAGATAAGTCAAGCTATCTCCCAACTATTTGAAGTAAGAAATTGTTGGTAAAAAGCAGAACTGTCTACATATTCATCTGCTTAAAAGTTCGGAGCACAAATTTCAACTATTATCCCGGTATCAGATTAAAGATTGTGGTGATTGTTGGGTGTTATTGATGTTACAAACCGACCTGACTCAGACGACCATTGAGAACCTGGAAGAACTTGGTAGCTGCCTTTCCATAGCATGGAAATCTTCAGCAATTCTCATCCACGACTTCGCAGGCGGGAGTCGAACCCGGTACCTTTGATCTCGTTTGCGAACACGTAACTTCTAGACCACTGATCCAGGATCCAATGGTGTGCATATCTAACTTTGTGATCTCAGTAATGTCACCCTGTTAATTGTTTCAAGCTAATATTCTGAACTACCTTGGAAACTACCTTTGTTAGTTTTATAATTACGAAGCTCATAACTGCCAGCTTTTTAACCTATAACATTTCCACAATTCTGTCGTTAAATTCTTTTCCCTATGAATATTTTTTAACTGTCAGCTAGTTTTTATGGCTGTACTCATAATAATTGAAATATATCGGCAAATAAGTATCATTCATTTTCCATGTAGTAGTTTAATACATTGCATTTACGTTTGTTTATAGTTAAAATAGGCATCATGTAATCGACTGTGTATTGCAATACATAGAACTCTTGAAACTTAAAGACATTCTGTTTTTATTTTACTGAAAATACTACTCATTTCTTTGGGGCTGTTTCTACATTGAAGTAGTTTTTCATATTCTTTGGGGAATCGTGCACGTGAAGTGGAATACTACATTCTTAAAAAATTGTTCCTCATGAGATTGCTTTTGTATTGTTCCAACCAAACCGTATACATTATATATTGCTTCAAGTCAGTCAGTCAATAACAACGTAGAACTTCGTACGTACGTACATCAGTTCGAGTTGCCACACCACGTTAGCACAGAGATGCAGTGGTCGATTCAAATCCCATAGTGGTAGAGGTAATAAGAGTATAAGCAGTAATCGGAAAGATTAGTGTTTGGAGATGTTATTTAAAGAGTATAATACAGTGAAGTGAATTTGGGAAGAGAAAAAAAAGAGACAAGGAGGAATAAGGAGATCGAAATTTGGGAGAACACAAAGAGTGGATGCACCTGCGCCATTGCAAACGATTTTGAGCCATGTCATTCAGGGTCTCTAACCATCGGTTGCTATCATCTCGCGGTCCCCAACTAGGCAGTCTACACCTACCAACATGACTTAGTCCACTTGCTTCAAAGCTACTAATAGGCCAGGGATGAGTGTTCGCAGTTTAGCGGTTCAGCTAGTTAATGTTACCCACCCCCACATATCCCCACCTAAGTCACTGCAGCAATCTGTAAACTGGTGTGTGTTTTCAGTATAGTCACTCAGGCCTTGGCATAAAGCTTCTTATCCAGTCTTTATTCCTTTTTGTAAAGATTAGTGTATATAACATTTGAAAGTGTGGATTATTGGTTAAATCAAACCCCAGAGAACAAAACTTTTGTATTCATATAAGTCAGTAACCTAGAGTATTAACCGAAAGGAAAATATACCTGTTAATAAAGGATTTGAAGAACTGATCCTATCAAGAATTATTCGTTTATAATAACACGAGTTCAGTTTCAAGTTCAAATAAACACAATCATTGAAATCGTATTCTGATATGATACTAAGGAATTCTTATCTCGAATCACTGTAATAGTATATTGAACTATAAAATATGAAAGGTATTTCTATAAGTTGTCTAGTTTACTGACATTTGTTACAGATTACATGGCTTTTCCCATCATAATCAGTTATTATTTATATTTGTATTTCGAGAATATAATTACTTTTTCTGAGTATTTTTTATTTACTTTACCAACAAAACAACGTAAATTATATGAGTAAATATATTTTTTTCTATTTTAGTCGATTTCTTCATCTGTGGATAATTGAAGAATATCACAAGTTCACTTTTGCCTCTGCTTCTGTATACATATAATAAACAGTTTTCTCCTAATCTTATATGATCCATTTCATCTAGATATTGATCTCTAATTAATCGAGTATTTATTACTTGTTTTATTTTATTACCAATATTTTCTTAGAATTTTTTTCAGTTTGTCTGTATTTGTTTACTCTTTAGTTCCTTGTTTGTATATAGTGGTTTTCTAATATTGCCTTTTTATTTTGTGTACTTTTTTTCTTTTCTGTTAGTTATTTAATAATAATTCGAGAAAAATACAGGTATTGGTTTGAATAATTGAAGCATTTTCATTTCTACTAGAAAAAATTTAAAGTATTATTAAGGTATAGTATATATTTTGATGATCATCTGTAAATCAAGTTGATTAGCATTAGATGGTAGGCAGTAGGAAACCATGAACCTAGGTTTTACGCTGGGTAAAATTCGTCAGCAACATTTACCCGCTATGTTGAGGGGACTGTTGCTGCATGTGGTAGTTGAACATGCGTCATCTAGCTTCACAGTCAGATGTTACCACTGAGCTATCCTCACAATAGCTGGTTTTTGAAGAGACTGAGATATTTACATTCATTGATCACTGATTAGTGTTCAATGTCTGTTTATATAGTTCTTAGTTGCAGTGTAGTCACTGGCCCAGGCTGCTCGACATTGCTAACCACCTTCAATTAATTAACATCAAAATAGAATTCTGTCACCACGTCACTAGTGCTTACTTCAAGTAAAAAAAGGATACGGAGGACTTTGTTTAATATTCTAAGAACTCAGCACTAAATAATTTAACAATAATAATGTTGTATCGAAAGCTTCTCGTTGTCTTGAGCCAGCGATCAAAATACAGTGAATCCACATTGGAATGATATTTCGGTCAATTGGAATTAATTTAATCAATTTGAAGCTGTAAGTCCTCAACTACTCAAGCTGGTTCTAACCATTGATAGAGGTTTTCCAGTCTATGGTATTTGTGTATTATTTGCTTGTTTTCGGTGGTATTTTCTACTGATTAGTTTAAACTAGCTTCAGACCTATACACTAGAGGTTCCGATAGATGTGTAGTCTGTTATTGGGCTACATTTTGATAAATTCGGTGAAACAAACCTGTGCAATATCTTGTGGTCTTTACATGTTAAAGTTTAGGGAAATTTCTTTTCATGTAATAGTTGCAGTTGCTAAAATTAAAATAAAAACTTTGTTTTGGAACATTAGTATTAAAAATTTGCAAGAATTATCAATGGATACACATAATTTCGCTTCGTGATTTGTTATCAGCCTATGAGTTCATTACCAATTTCTGAACGGGTAATTCACCAATTAATCTTTAGATCACCGATTTACTCAGCTTCTGTTGCCTGTATATTCTTGATGAACTTCTTTATTTCACTATTTTGATTGACAGCTTAATAAATGCCTGAGTAGTTTATACCACAAATAGTCGTGTTTTTTTAAATTCGTTAACGAATGGATTGTCAACATTTTTCAATACTATACAGAATCATTTTATATATAGATTTTACAATGAATCTTATACTAAATAATTTAAACGAATTTTGGTAAGAATGTAGTGGTTTGGTGGAGTATATATGTCTAGGTCACAGTGACTAGTTTTTAGCCACAAATCGTCCTAATTATATTCATCTCAGTTAATATTTATGATCTGTATTGATTAAAACAGTTATTAGTAAAATTATGTATCAAATACTTAATGATGATACCGAAACTTCAACTATTAAGTTGTGGTAAAAGAATTGAAGTATAGAAAGTGCGATCTGTTAAGTGTTTATTAGATGATAATTCAAAAATGTTTCCAGATAATTCAAAGCAACCTTTATGCTATTATATCAGGTTAACTGAAGAAATTTGACATGTCCAAATGTGCTAATTGACCTAGAGAAATTTTAGACGTATTTTGCTTGTTAAACACGAAGCTAAGTGTTGTTTTAATTGGAATAGATAATAGTCTGACTTATACAAATATTTAGTAGTCTTACTTTATTTAATTAAAGTGATTGCATAAGATCAGTCTAATAAGTTCCATTTGTCTATTTAATTAATACTAGGTAAACCTAGTCAATTGACTCGTATTATCATGGATGTCAATAATCTGCAGAATAGAACTTCATTTAGTTTTGCTGTAGAGCTCAAAAGACAATTTCGTATGGAGTAAATTTAATGATGAATATTTTGTATGACTTTTTAGCGTTTCAAACTCATTTTATGTGAAGTTCATCAAACATTTTACAAGCATCTTTAAAAAGATTATGTCATAGATGTTCGAAATAGACGTATGCAATAAAACTACTGAAGTGACAAAAATAATAAATCGTCATATTCAAGAAATCACCATATTTGTTGAAAGTGGACTCTATTAAACCTATATAAGACTTTTTTTTATCATAGAGCCAAATAGACATAGGGTTTGGCGAACAGGTCTCGCGCTTGAGAATTTAATTCTTCCTTTGTGTGCTCACTTTATCCAGTTGTAATTATTATTTTAACTTTTGGTTGGCTAGGGTACCGCTCCGGTGTCTAAATCCAACCAGGTGGTTTTCTTAGATCACTCTTCGAGTCTTTGACCTAGAGTTACAATCCACAAGGCAGTTGTGTAGCGTTATGGGATGCAGTCTCATGGTAGCCGATGACCAAGGATGGGTTTATATGCCATTTGTCACGTCAAGGTCTTCGAGCTCATATGTACTACCGGTATGCAATCACAACTTTCCGGTATACGTAGGTGGATCCTCCATATACACCAACTTGGTTTACACCCCAGAAATTCTTTCATCTCAATTTTTTAAACAACGCCCATATCGAAAGTAGACAGGGGATAGAACTTCTCTGACAGAGAGTATACGAAGGCATTTCAAAAGTGATTAGGAACTCTCACTACCATTAGCCGTGCTAGAGCAGTTGGAGGCATTATATTCCGATGCTGAGACTAGCTGGAAAAAGTAGAGGGATAGCCAGTGTACGACATAGTTTCGTGGTATGAAAAAAAGCCGTACAGGACTGGCATCTGTCGGTCCTTCACGACTCGCTGGACAAGATCCTAGAGATAACTCAACACAATGACTTGGGACGTTATCATACATACCTCAGAATATAAGCTTGTGGTAGTCCTGCTATAATTTTCTTTAACATTTTTCATATATGAGAAAGGAAACTCTTTGTTGAAAGAATCCTTTATAGTTGTTTTCACCTTAACGGATTTACCTATTAACAATACTTTTGTTTTTACTCTCATCCATCGGTTTTTGTTCATTGTCTTCTTATTACATCCACCCTTTTTCTCTCTTTTTATATTCACACTTTCATTATGTGGCACATATATATTTTGTTGTCATTTTGTGCCAATTCTATACTCATGCACTTGAATAAATAAAACTTTGCACGCGTTTAGTAATATGTTCTTTTTCAATGATTGTCCTTACTAATACGCCCCCTTTTTCACTCACGCTTATTACACTCTCTGTTTTACTCGCACCCTTACTACTGTAAATCTCTTTTATTACAGTAAAATTATTTTTAATCATTTCTACGATGAATAAAGATATTTCATCCGTGATTTTCATATTGTACTATAACTATAATCAAATCACATCATGACAGTGGATATTTGTGAAACAAACTTTCTAAAATTTACTTAAAATTTAAATAGGGGCTTTCAAATATTGCTCAATCGCCTGTTTAGAATTTGATGAACTGTATGTATTGTACAAATATATCACATAATTCTGATAAACTTCGTCTTCTTATTGCATTATCGGAACTGAAAACTCCCAACAGAGATGATTGTGTTCCAGTTTATCCATTTCTTAATAATTGTAAATGCAAGAAATATTTTATTTGCTATCAAAAATCAACGGTAGATATACGTGGTTCTAAATTAATAATTTGATTAAAAGCAGTAGGTTGTTATTTTGTTAGTTTTCGTTAGGATAGTAAGTAGTATACCAATTGTTAAATGTTGACTTTATGGTGTTTGGTAAATTTTGAATAATGATAATACACGGAATGCTTAGGTTTCACAGCTTAATTTCAACTTTTTATACGATCTTCAAAATAAAATTCACATTTATGACACTTAACCGTACTTCAATAAAATCTGTCTTTTGTAAAATGAATTTTAAAAAAATCTGACTAATATGTCAGTGGGTCATGTGCCTTTGTCATTGCTATAGAAAACTAAGGCTTTTGGGGGGTCTTAGTACGACAAAACATTTACAATATAGTTATGATAAGGTTTTACCATTTTTATCTTTTCATGTTGCAGATAGTTAAAAAATTCAAAAGTATAGAATTGAAATAAACTGTATTAGATGTGTACTATGAAGGAAAAATGACTAAAATTGGTTATGAGAATGAATATAAACGATATATCTGAACAATAAAACACTTTCTAACTATCTTTTAAACTTCAACTACTGCAAATCACTCTTACGAACACATTTGTCTCTAAACAATATGATTGAATCATGTCCAATCTAGTTATTACATTTGTTTCATTGTACATTTCATTTTGTTATGATAAAGGCAAAAATAAGACAAAATTTACGATTTTAGAACTGGTTTATTTACCAATAAATATAAAATAAAGTAAATAGTTATTTTCAGAATGGGTTTTGTGGAGAATTTTAGAATTTTCACAGGTTTTTTTTGAAATCATGAGTCAGTTGAAGCTAGACCACCATTGAAAACCTGGAAGCACTGGACGGCCGTCCCATACCAGGACGAAACGGCCGTCCAGTGCTTCCAGGTTTTCAATGGTGGTCTAGCTTCAACTGACTCATGATTTCAAAAAAAACCTGTGAAAATTCTAAAATTCTCCACAAAACCCATTCTGATAATGATAATCAACTGCTCACTAGTGACTGACTTCAGGAAAAACTCCTGAAGTTCTAGTGAGAAGCCGTTACCAGTGGAGTTCAACCGGTCTGTTGTGAGATAACAACTCACTGAAGACAATGGTGTACGGTGGCGCAACTTCGTGGATTGGTTGAAGTTAGACATTAACACCGTTGGATACCGGCTCAGTGGTCTAATGGTTAAGTGCTCGCGCGCGAAGCCAGTAGGTCCTGGGTTCGAGCCCCGCGTGGTGCGGGATCGTGGATGCGCACTGCTGAGGAGTCCCATACCAGGACGAAACGGCCGTCCAGTGCTTCCAGGTTTTCAATGGTGGTCTAGCTTCAACTGACTCATGATTTCAAAAAAAACCTGTGAAAATAGTTATTTCCTTCTTACTTCGATCTTAATAAGTGATGATGTAAAACTTCAAAATAT